AAGGTTTGCTCGGGCCGAGGCGTTTCCGACGTGGGCGAATTGAAGATGACGGACGTGTCCTTCCTTCTGACTGCCGTGCTGAACGCGATGAGTCCGCCGGCGGGTCGAACCGGCCAGGCCGTGTCCCAGATCAACCGGGTAACCGGCGACCTACGCGCCGGCTCACTCACCTTCACCGGCAGTCGGGATGCCAAGCGCCCAGCCCGCATCTCCGGCTCCCTCTACCAGGCTGCCTTCCTCGCCCTGCGCATCGTGTGCATTTGCTTCGAGAGCCGGCTCTCCAACGAGTGGCCCCGCATTGTCCGCGTGATGAGGGATCTCGGGAGGCGCAACGAGGCGGCACCGGACCTCTGGAGCTTCATGGAGTTCGTCGTCACCCACCGAACGCCCCTCTACATTGTCCTGCTGCCCTTTATTCTGCACAAGGTAAGAAATGGGGGTCTTGTTCACTAACTTGTGCTTTGAAATATTTATAACTAAACGTTCACTTCGACTTTGATCAACATAGTTGGGTAACACAACTTAAAGTTTCTTGCTGCTATATAATTTCAATTCGATTATATTTAAGTATACTCAAAATAGTAATTTTAATATTTCTCTTTGGTATAATATTATTCCTGGTGACCCCAAACAATATATCCCTTCTTTGCAGAAAGTCATGATTTATACTTAAAAGATTAATTGCAAAGTTTCTCTTTGGTATAATATAAATCTTAGTGATCCAAAACAATTTACCCCTTCTTTGCAGAAAGTTTATAAATGTGCAATTCGTTTTGGTAATGATTATATATAATTAAATGATGACGATATTATGAGCTGAGAGCGGACCTTCTTATAACTTTGCTGTTTTCGCCAACGGGTATCCTTGTAAACGTTTTTCTAAGCTCCCCCAACTAAATCCAAAGTTTGTGAGCAGAATACAAATTTCTGAATTAAGTGCTGGAAAAACTTATAATATTTTTAAAATACTCTTGCGTTTGCTCAATTTTTTCTTCAAATAAATCCTAACAATGCACTATTATGCCTTAAGCCTAGACAAACAAAGTCTATCTATTAATGTCTAGGCCACATTTACCTATTTATATATGCATATTCCCCTAAGTTAAGTACTTTTCAAAATTAAAATCACTAACGATTGTCGTATTCCAGATCTCGCAGCCACCAATCGGGGATCACGAGCGGCACATGCAGTTCATAATCCGGGAGCGTTTGCGTGGAACTCCGCCGCAGGGCGGGATCAAGTCCAAGGGAGCGCTGCTGCTGGAACTGGCCCGGGAGCTGCGGGACCTGCGCGACGAGCTGGAGGAGAAGCGATACGGTAAGAGTCCGGAACGGAGCCAACCCCCAAATCCGCTCCACACACACCCACTCATTTTTCAGTCTTCACAGATCGCGAGAGTTCCGAGCAGAAGAAGAGCGACACTCCGGCGGCAACTAGTGCGGCAGAAGCCCACAAGTCGCAGCAAAGACCTTCACTCATATCTATCTTCACAGGGACCACCACGGGACAGGCAACGCACTCCCACGTCTCCGCCGTGCCGATCGACTCGCGCAGCGGATCCGGGGGAATCTGCACGCCCAGCGATACGCTGTCGCAGCAGACGCTGCACCCGCCGCGGGAGTCGCTGTCCAGCAGCTCCACGGGCCGAGATCCGCACACGACGACCAGCGAGAGCCAGAGCGGCGAGGCGGACGCAGGATCGGCGCCCACACTGGTGGGGCCCACGCCGACCGGATCGGGACATGGGTCGGGCGGTGCCGGCTCTGGTACCGCCTCCGCCGTGCCCTCGCATCTCTCGCATTCGCAGTCGTTGCAGCAGGCTCCCTTCAAGGCCCAGCCGCCCAAGTTGCGCTTTGTCTCGTCCGTGGAGTTCCGACACTCCTCCGGCGAGACCTCGACCACTCCGCTGTCGCCGGAGAGCCCGGCGGAGGACAGTTCCGGGGATCACACAAGGTCGCGACTGCAGCGATCCAAGGCGGCCAGTCGGAAGACCTTCAGGCTGAAGCGCAGTCGTCTCACGCCTATGGAACCACCCAGCATTGTAAGTACTTAGGATACCCTATTAACCCTATAACCCAGGGATCCCGAACAAGAGATACAATTCTTAAATAAAAAATTTAGGGCAGTGGAAGAATTGTACATAAGTTATTTTTTTAAAGAGAAGCAAAAAAAGCATTTTTCGTTACATTTTTTACGATTTACGATATTTATAAAAAATTTAAAAAATAACCATTAATTTTTTTTTTATTGAAAATAAAAGTTTTTTCCTATAACAGTTTCAATGCATATGTGAATATTTATTTTAGGTCACCTCCCAGGAGGAGCAACCGCAGCAGGCGCAGGCCAAGACCCTCGGTGAGATATCCTGGGACTCTGTTTCCCAGACATCCTCTACTTCCGGCTATCGAGACAACAACAGCCTGCAGACCGGTCTGCTCTCCCCAGATGGATCCCTGGGGGGATTGACATTGGGTCGGTCCCCATCGCAGCACTCGCTTTTAATGGTCTTCGAAGGTCAGGACGAGGACACGCTCATTTAACAATCACAGAACGGCGACCGGGCCTACGAACTTTAGAACCAAGTGGTTCCACTAATTAACGGAAATTTGGAAAAGTCATGTGTGCAGAAGGTATTTGTTGGGTGTTAAGTTTTATAGACGAACCGTTGTTTTCCATTGTGTGCCATTTTTGTATTCGATAGTTAATGTTAGAAACTAATAAATGTACTTGGTAGCCGTTCTAGTCGATAATTTTGTTCTTACGTTTTGGGCAAAAATATTCTTTTTCAGAGACTTTCTGTGGAAACAATTTTTAAGGTTTTATTTTATTTGACATCGGTGTACAAATTGGACAGGTATTATTATATAAACATTTATTTAACGTTTGTACATATAAAAACTCCTATCAGCACTAACTGTAAATAAAACATTTGATAATTTCCATTTCCCAAATTTTACCGTTGGGAAAGGCGCTGAATTTAAAAAATTGCTACTAGCTTGGTCACCTTAATTTATCAGCTGATTGAAGAAACGTAACGTAATCACGTTATCGAATCCGGAGATGTGCACTTCTCGTGTTCTTAGAACGATACACAAAGTGCTTGTTATGAAAAATATTTTGAACATATGCTCAAGGTGACACAAACGTGTTTACAAAAACAGTGTATTAAAAATTCATTCACTAATTATATATGCTATTCATTATTTATTTATAAATTTACTTAAGTTCAGGTATTTTAAATATAAGATTCAAAATTTGACATTTAAGTTTGGGCTCGTGAGTGACACGCGTCCATCTCTAATGGGAGCCAGTTCCCACAACGAAAAGGAGAGAGCAAGATGCCGCTCTCTCTCGGTCGCCAACTTGTTATGGATCAAATCGGTTGAATCTGCACTTTGGACTTTCTCTTGGATCTTTGATTTCAAGCACTATCACCGTTACTAGTGGCTCTCAATCTCTTACAGCGATCGGTCTATAAACTTTGGACAGGATGATTAACACAGGAAAATTGGCCGGGCGAACACTGTTCATCACGGGAGCATCGCGGGGAATCGGCAAGGAGATTGCCCTAAAGGCGGCCCGCGATGGAGCCAACATAGTGGTGGCGGCCAAGACGGCCGAGCCGCATCCCAAACTGCCGGGGACCATCTACTCGGCCGCCGAGGAGATCGAGAAGGCCGGAGGAAGGGCCCATCCCTGCGTGGTGGACGTGCGCGACGAGCAACAGGTGCGCAGTGCTGTGGAGGCCGCTGTGGCCAAGTTCGGGGGCATCGACATCGTGATCAACAACGCCAGCGCCATCTCGCTGACCAACACACCGAATACGGACATGAAGCGGTACGACCTGATGCACAACATCAACACCCGCGGCACTTTTCTGGTGTCCAAGGAGTGCCTGCCGTACCTCAAGAAGAGCAACCACGCCCACATCCTCAACATTTCGCCGCCGCTGAGCATGAAGTCCAAGTGGTTTGGCCCACATGTAGCCTACACTATGGCAAAATACGGCATGTCCATGTGTGTTCTGGGCATGGCCGAGGAGTTCCGTGACCAGGGAATCGCCGTCAATGCTCTGTGGCCGCGAACTGCCATCCATACGGCGGCCATTGAGATGCTCACCGGTCCCGATTCTGCCCAGTGGTCACGCAAACCCGAGATCATGGCCGATGCCGCCTACGCCATCCTGAGCCGGGAACCCAGACAGTTCAGCGGTCAGTTCTTCGTGGACGACGAAGTGTTGGAATCGGTGGGAATCACGGATCTCACGGATTACGCTTGCATACGCGAGAATGCCGACAAACTGATGGTGGACTTTTTCGTGGAGGAGAAGGGAGCCCCGGCTGAGAATGCGGATCCGGCAGGAGGTGCTTCTGCTGCTCCAGCAGCTGAAGGGAGCGGAAAGATACCCCAGTTATTCCAGAAAATCGAATCTTTACTCTCGCCAGAGATCGTCTCAAAGACGCAGGCCGTCTTCCAGTTCAACATCAGCGGTGCTGAGCAGGGAACCTGGTTCCTGGACCTGAAGAACGGCTCCGGCTCTTGCGGATCTGGAACACCGCCCGCCGCTCCCGACGCCACACTGACCATGAATTCGAACAACTTCTTCGACATGTTCTCCGGGAAACTGAAGGCAGCCCCCGCCTACATGACCGGCAAGCTGAAGATCAGCGGGGACTTCCAGAAGGCCCTCAAGCTGGAGAAGCTGATGAAGGCGCTCAAGTCGAAGCTGTAGGAGCAATCAAGTTGCTGACTTTTCTATTGTATACAAACGTTTGATTTTATATATTTTCCCAATAAAGTATGAAACTCTTTTAAATTTCCATATCACCTGTTTCGAATAGTTTTTTTGGCGATTAAGTTAAGTTAACAAAGTTAACTTTTTTTTATAGTTACAAAAAAGGAGTAGATATAATGATAATTATTTTAAAAACACCACCCATACCATACTGAAATTAATGAATTATTTATTTCAGAACCATTGAAATAAAAAAATTGAAAATTGGAGCAGTAGTATCGCTAAGTATTTATTTTTTCTTTTGAAAAATGCGGGTAACTAGATTTCAAGCACATTGAGACTGACCAGATGCTTTTAACCAAATAGACATCTTGCATTTTATGCAAACCTATAGACAATCACACTTTTGTTGACCAAATAAATTAAGCGATATAAGAAACCGGGCATATAAACGATGTATGTGTCCACCTGTCGATGAATAAGAAAATATTTAAAGAAAAGACCCCGAAAAAGTCTGTCGTCATGGCCTCCAGACCGTTCAAGGTAGATACTTCTTAAAATTTAACAGGAAGTGTCTTAATCATCAACATCCGTATTGATAGGACATACCCCTGCAGCTGATAAAGTGCTTCTGCGGATGCAGTGACATGACGCCAGCCGAGGTTCGAAGGATCTACTCCTTGACGAACAGCGTTCACGAAACCCTTCTGGATCCGCAGGCCACCAGACTGTTCCGCAAATTCTTGGAGATGAAGCGGTCCGGCGACAAAACAGCGGCTGATCAGTACCTGGACATCTACGAGAAGTGCTCCGAGTTCCTGCCGGAGACGCAGCGCACCTTCACCCAGGATGAGGTGGACGAACTCGTCGATCTGGGCCTGCCCTATGATCTGGAGCAGCATCTGTCCAGGCGCATGCTCAGCGGCAATCGAACGGACATCAACTCCGGTCTTTATCGCATCCAGGGCAAATGTCGCAACGAGATTGAGGCTAGCAGCGATTTCGCAGACTTTAGGAACGCCATTGTTGATAAGATGCGTCGGGTGCCGAAATGATATAGTCGGTGCCATTTTAAAGCTTTGTGTTCACTGTGCAACGCCTACCAAAGTCACGATGTTACCTTTCGATAAACGCACTCAACCTCGCTCCTCTTTCCTTTCCCAGTGCCTTGACAGCCCCCACCACTCATTACCACGAATCCAAGATTAGTCAAAGTCATACAACGACAAAGAAGCGGAAACCGTCCTCCTAATTTCACTGTGGCCTACGAATCGTGCTAGAGCCAAGGCTCACTAAACATTTACATTCTTAATATTAAATCCACAGACGGAACAGAAACTTTACCTACTTCAATTTATTTTACCTGTTTTTATTTTGTAATGTCAGAAATAAATGACTTCATCCAAAATACATGCAAAAATTTTATATATTTTCGGCAGGAAGACTATATGAAGGGAAGTTCTTAACTCTTTATGTCATATGACAACTGGATATCATATTTTTTGAACGATTCTCAAAAAATGTTAAATAAATTTTGTTAAGTATACCTAATCTACTGGTATACCTAATCAACTGGTGCGATTCGTCACCTATTTTACAGCCATGATAGGTTGGTAATCATTCGAAATATTACCAAAAAAAGTAAAACGGTGTATCCCATATATAAATGAAAGACTCGCCTCTTTTGAATACCAGTTATTATTTTGCTTTTGACTAACATCATCAAGGATATTCGCGATGGCCTCTTATTCGTACAAGGTAGTTAACGACATATTCCGTGAACATAAGTAATTATATGAATATGTACAACACAATCTAGGACAGGGCCCAAGAAATGATAAAGTGTTTCTGCGGCTGCACAGACATGACTGTGGAAGAAGTCCTCCGTGTTCATGGACTGTTTGGTAGGGTTAAAGACATCCTGTCGGACCCGCTTGCTGCAAAGCTGTTTGGCCAATTCATGAAGGAGAGACGTTCCGGTGACAAGAATGAGACCGAGCAGTACTTGGAAATCTACAAGATGTGCATTCAGCTAAAGTCCCAGCCAATTATTACTCAGGGCGATTTGAGTGAACTCATCAACAGGGGCCTACCCCGTGAATTGGAGCAGGATCTGACCAAATGCGTGCTGAGTGGCAACCCAATGGAAATCACTCGATGCCTTGGTTGCATTCAGGTCAAATGTAGCAACGAAATTGGGGGTAGTGCTGAGTTTCACGACTTCAAAAAAGCCATCGAAGAAAAACTGGGACGGGTACCGAAGGAATTAAAATAATCGTTTGTATGCTTACTTCGGGAAATTTAAGAAGATCCGATTTTTAGTTGTACAAAAAAACAAACAAATACGATCTTCTGAATTATAGAAAACATATAAAGCCACTAGGCAGTTAATCCTTGTCAATAATTAACCAAACGAGAAACTTATTACTTACAATCATATATATTTTGTTTTAGAATGAATGATTATATACTTGTTAAGCAATACAGCTATAGAGATATTTCCAGTTCTGAAATAAACGACCTAATACTAATTTCCGTTCGTTCTGCTTAGGTTTTCTTCCACGAATAATACATTTCCATCGGCTTGTTTACCTAAAAGAAAAGGGATTAAGACCAAATTAATACTGACTTGTCGCGCATCTTACCTTCCAGAACTTATCGTTGACCTGATGCAACGTCTGGTTGCCATTCAGGATGACCAGTTGCTGTGGCTGGGGAGCTACGTAGATGCAAAAGTTGAGCAGGCGACAGGCCTCCGGTAGATCAGCGCCCAGATCGAGAGTGAGCCGCATGGCCAGATACTTGCTGAGATGATCGACGGTGGCATTGGCTGTGGTCTTGATGTAGCGCACACAATTCTCCTTTAGCGCCCGTATTAGCTGGTTATCCGCGGACATCTCTGTGGGATGGGGCTTAAACACCAACTCAATTTCATCGTTGATGCCCAGCTCGCCATTGCCCTCGCCCTCGGTGTCGATGTTGGAGTCGCCCTCAGTGCGACAGTCCATTTGCGAGTCGGACTCGGACTCCTCGGACCGCTCCGAAGTCAACACCGACATGGCGCGCTTCGGCTTCGAACTGCTCGAGTTGGAGGGCACCGGCGAGGGTGTGCTCCGCATCGATGGCGGATTGGAAGCGTCATCCACCTGCATTCTGGTGGCGGAAGTGCTGGCGCCCGAATTGGCCGATGAGGAGGGCGCCGCATTGGAGGCGCTCGTAATTGCCGAGGCCGCCGAAGTGCCCGAATGACCCGGATCCCGGTTCTCGCGATCGATGCTGTTGGTATTGCTGTTGCTATCATTGGAGGCTGTGTCATGGACATGCATCTGATTGGAGGCATTGCGGGCCACAGCAGCGGGAGCACCAGGACCAGGAGGAGCCGCCACACTGCCACTGGTAGGGGCACTATTACCATTGCCTCCACCCCCACCACCCTTGGTGCGGAATCTTTGTGGCCGGTTCTGCGACTGTAGCTTGATGCCCTCGTTAATGGAGTTGACCAGCGCCTGCTGCGACTGCGTCTGGTTAAACTTGGCCATCACCTTCTCCTGGATGGCCTCGTACTCCTCGCGACTGGGGTATATCTTCGATATGAGCAGGTCGAAGTTGGGATCGGCGCGCAGCGAGCGCTTGGAGACCAGTTTCTTCCTGCACGTGGGGCACTCCTTGTTGCCTGACCGCAGGGCGGTGACGATGCAGTCGGAGCAGAAGCGGTGCAGGCATTCCTTCGTCGTCATCGTCTTCTTCAGCATGTCCAGGCAGATGGGACACATCAGCTCGCTGTGGAGGCTTCGCGGGGACACCGCGATCTCCGTGCTGTCCGTGATCACCTCCTGGGGCTTACGCTGCAGCTCATACAGCGACAGCTCCCACGTTTTGTTCGGCGCCGGGTCCAGCGACGTCATTTTCACACCAATTCTGAGGCTTTTCAATACACAAACACCCTTTTTACCAACAATTTTCGCTCAAATTTTCCAAATTGGCTTGCAGTGTGACCGTTGCTTCGTTGTTTGATAAAACCACCACCAAACGATGTCACAATCGTTACTTGATTGGTATTTTTCGGTATTTTAGATTTTAGTACATGGTTTGGCGCGTTCTCTAAGTAATTCAAAATGTGATGGCTACACCAATAAAAAAAAAAATTAACTCAATTTTAATTAAATGTAAATATTAATTTTATTGTTTAAATAAAACAAATACCAATTATAGCTCAACAAAAATATAATATATATATGTAATATATATTAATTTGTCTATGATTTGTGAACGCAAACTGCAGCTTTATTCAAACACAATTTGAAATTGGCTACCTTTAAAATAATTTGTTTAAATGTTCTAGGGAGAGGAGAATTTTCGAACATTAACGTTTTAATTTAGTTGTCAAGACGAAAAATGATTATCTTACCAGCTTACACACGTAGAACTGAACACTTTTAAGCTCATTGCTTTCTTATTGTAAACAATAGCTAGATCTAATAAACAAAAAAATGGTAATGCACAAAGCTAAACATTTGCCTTTGATTTTTTTAAATGTTTTTAAAGATTCCAACAATGTGGCAGAAATGTACATTTAAATTCAATGCCCGGTTTAGCTCTAGTTTTCCTGGTTTCTGGGGGTTAAGTTTCTTTGCCGATCAAGTGGACGCCAGTGTTTAAGTTTAATATGGATCCGCCAGATCCTTTTCGGTTGACACTCTGTCAACACCTCAATTCCACCATTTATTGCGGCTGTCAATCAAGGCGTCTGAAAGCATTTACCGGATCCAGCCAAATATGGCTTAAATGCAGAACCGCCGTTAGCTAAATTGCACCAGAATGGGATTTTCTGCAGTTGGTGACGCTGTGTGGGGCCGAGAATGCTGAATGTAGTCCGTCTGATAATTGAATTAGAGGCCCGCCGACTGGCTCCTTCAGTCTGCATGCGATGACAATGACCCTTGAGAGCTGAGCATTCCATTACTTTTGGATCGGATCGGAGTGGATTGCGTGCTCCCAAGTTTCCCAAGCCAAAAGGTTTTCCCTGGCTAACCACCTGTCACATATTGTCGGCGGGAGTGACGTGGCATATATGCAAGCCTTGGGCAAATGCCGCCGCCATTTGAATGAGCGGTGAAATTGCTGGACATGCCTGGCATGGCTAACAAAAAAAGAAATAAAAAAAAAATACAAAAAAATGAAAACAAAAACAGTTGACATATCCCAAGGTGCAGGAGGCGGTGCCACTTTCGAATTCCTCATTAGAACGCCCAGCTAATTATTGTGGTCGGTAGGCGTGGCCAGATTTTCGCTCACTTTGAAATTGCTGCCTCATGGCGGCAGTAATTGCAGCATCCATATATATGTACATATAGTGTGTGCCTATGCCCCGGCAATTTTCAACTTATCGAGACTATCCACCGCTGCACCTGACCAGCAGAGCCCACAGCACCACCAGAACCACCTGAACCACCGCACCACTTGAACTTGTGCACCCACACGACGCTTGCTGATCGCCGCTGTCCTCGATTCTCGGGTTCACGACCCACATGCTGCCGGGCTCTTGGCTCTCCATCTCTGGAACTGCTTTCTTGAATGATCCCAGCGCTTTTCCATCGGCCAACGTTTATTGACATTAATCATTTGCGGCCGCTTGCGGAAATTTGCAAGTACCTGGTGCCGGGTATACCAGGTATACCAGGTACTTCTGGGAAATGATTGCCTCCCAGCACACTTTTTTATGGCAGCTTTATGGAAGGTGGTTTACGGCCAAGAGGCCAGGGATATCGACTGGCACAAAAACAAGCAAAAAAAATTAAAATCAAAGTTTCTCTATTCCATTTTTCTTCGAATCTTTTTTGGGAGGGACTATTTTTTTTGCAACTCACAATTCGGCGGCAGACCGGAAGGAAGAAGGCGCCATTTTCCTGGAGTTTTTGTTACCCGTTGTCTGCGCCATTTTGTGGCGGTCTTACTTACAATTTATGTTACTTGATGTCTGCAAATTTGTCAGCCATTGTTCGCAGTTAAAGTGAAAGTTGTGCTCTAGAACGAGCTATCCAGCTGAAATTGCGAATGCCTAATTGGGCTTAACGAGTTGAACTCGAGGTGGGCGTTTTGATTTTGAATTTACAGACAGAATTATTCTACATTCATTCATTGTTCAAAATGGAATAAAGTTATTTTAAAACATTCAGTTCGACTTTTGATTTTTGATTTATGAAGCTCGCGGTCTTAACTAAAAAATTAGGTTTTTTTTTTTTAAATTCCTTTTTATAGGACTAAAATTTAAAGTTACCTTACTTACTATTTCCCAGAAGTACATATAAATTTAAGAAACTAACTGGTGTTACAGTCATTATAATTCTTGTCTGTGTACCAGTTCAAGTGAGCTGGCCCAAAATTGCTGTATGAGTAAACCACAACATGCCACTTAGCCCCCAACTCGAAATCAATGATGGGTATGGTTTTGAAAATGGGAGTTACGAATTCCAGGCCACCAGATTCGGACAGTTAGAATGTCACCCACACACTCACACATACACACACACTCACCGCCACCTGGAATTGCAAATGCAATCTGTTAACTTGTCTTAACAAAGACGGCCACTTCGAAAGCCAAAAACAAAAGCAAAATCGATGCCAATGCCACTCATAGCCAACAATTGACAATAACAAGCAGGCGGCGTCCGCCCAATTTTCGACCCAAACCGTTGGTTCGCCCCACTCTTTTTCGGTGGCGAAGTGAGGTGAAGTGCGATGAAGTGGCCCGGCAACATCATCGATAACAACCACTGAAACGGCAGCCACACAATTGGAGTTCCTCAATTGCCCACTGTCCAAATATTGCCAGATCCCAGGAACGCAGCGCATTGTTTGCTCGTTATTATGGACGTGGCTCCTGATGGGAACCTGACCTGGGATTGGGACTCAAATTGGGATTGGCATGGCCAGTGGGTTGGTTTGGGTTGGGCCAGGCGGGTTCTTTTGTCTTTTCGTCGCACACAGTACACATACCATAAATAAATCTCAATTAAACTGCAACCCCTTTTCCACGGGGGGCGTTTCCCATGGACCATGGAACATGGTCCATCCTGGTAATCAATCAGTGGACGAGGCTACTCCCTGGCTTAGCCCAAGTTCTCTGGGATGTCACAGATGTGTCTTCGCACTCACACCCCAACTCCGACTTTTCGGCTGCCACTCTTTATTCTTTTCTATGCCATGCCATGCGGCACTTGCATGTTTATTATTTGGCCAGCCTTTTAGAAGCCGGTCCCGATCTGCAGACTGGACATAGTCCACACAACGAGGGGAGAAGGGGAAAAGGGAGCAGAAGTGGTACGGACTTGGCCAAGTCGCGACGACGTCACAGTCGTTAAGCGTGACTTTTGTTATTGTTGTTTGTTGCTTTTTGCATACCGTCGGAAAAATGGGTAAGAATTGGAAAGGGGCAGCGGTGTGTGTTAGGGGATTGGGAACGTAAACAAAAAGCCGAACTCCAAACTCGAAGTCGAAGCCGCTCAACGAGTAGCCAAAGACAGAGAATAAAGAAACCAGAATTGTTCTACAAAACATTGAATACTGTACACCCTATAAGTAATTTAAAACAAACATTTATTGAGTTTATTAAAGGAAAACTAAAAAACTTGAAGGAGTTGTGGCTTATTAAAGTCTACGAACTACTTGTACTAAGGACCATTAAAAGATAACTATTTCGTACTTTACCAAGAAAAAAGTGTTTAGCCCCATAAACTCTATTTAAAAAGATAAATATTTTGTTGTTAGTAGCGATTTCTTGGCTTAATTACTGGGTATCAATTATAAATTAGTTGAATTGAATAAATCATTAAGATATATATTTTTTAAATGTAATTTTTACTAATTGTCACTAATAATCTTAATACGTAGAGAGCGTAGCATAAAGAGTAGGTTTTAGGGCTTTACAACACCAGCAACTTTTATTTGCATACTAACTCAAAAACACTCTTCCAAATGGGATTTCGGATGAGGTTTCTTTCCGAGAACCACAATGATTATAAGTTAGGAGACTAGGGTCAAACCAATGCGGTGGTTAGTCATGACGTGGTGCAGCACCCAGCTGAAATACCCGTATCCACTCGGTGGTTTTGTTCTGTGGCATAAACGCCAACGACGACCGGCCCGCTTCATTCAGTCTTTGGCGAGATTTTATCGTGTGCGGACGTGTCTGCGGCTGACTTGCGACTTTGAATTCGACTCCGAATACCGAACCTCACTCGTTACTCACGCGACTTTAGATGCAGTTTTGTAACATTTGGCGCCACCAGCAAAAGACTCTGAGACTCTGATTCGATTGCATTTACTACAAATCACATGCTAAAAGTGCCAACGATAAAAAAAACCCCAAGTTCGTTAATATGAGTTCAACCTGGATGAGAACGGCGACCTGGATGCTGGGGTAAGTTCGAAGGACACCGGGTGACTGAGGGTCCTTTAGCTGCGTTTTAGGGTCCAGCGTCCCCGCTCCTTTTCCGTCTGCGTGCCCATTTCTGCCCCAACCACCGCGTCCTTCGTCTGCGCCTCTTCGGTTTGAGTTTCTTGGTTCCTTGGTTGGGAAAGGCATTAAAGAATGGCTGAGTTTGGGAGTCTAGAGATGGAAGACTGAGTCACCTACCCGCTGGACACCCTTTGTAACCTGCTGCGGTGCCCATGCAGGTAGCACTTCTTGCACTTCATCGTACAGTTCCATGAGGGACCAGTGGTCAGCCTTTTTCTCTTGCTGATTCTGTGGATGGAGGCTTTTTTAGTTTGCTGCTAAATCAACATGGATGAGACATTTTATTGTTATTTGTCTGGCAAAGTTACGCTAAAAAATTAAGCAAAAAATTGCCTTTGCGGCGGTTTGCTTAGCTATAACGCTTTCAAGGTTTTATGTTGAAACTATTAAGGTGCTGTTAAAGTTATTGAAATGAAGACTAAAGTTCTTTAAATTTTCTTTTATTCATCTAAATATACATTCATTTAAAGGTATATGCCTTATTTTAAATGTAAAATTGAGCAGTGTTTTCTAAATAAATATATATATATTGATATAAATATTAGACAAAAATCTAATAATAAGCCGGAAAATATTGTGGTCTTCTCATTTCCAATCAGTAAAGTGAATGCCTCATGATTGTACGATTGTGGTTAGGAACAAAATTAAAGTTGTCAAAGGTTCGAATTTAAATTATGATTTCTTACCTTTTTGTCCTTAATTTAAGGACCGACTTTAATAAAAGTTTTTGAAGTTCCGCCTCCGATATGAGCTTCTCCTTTGGATAGTTATCCCCCATCTGGTTGAGGGGGACATGTGTCAGTGGTTCCAGTGACGCCTCTCTGGGCAGGTCCTCCTCCAGTCGCCTCTTGTTCACTCCGAGCAGGGTGAGATCGAACAGTTGGTTGATGGCCGCCAGAACTTCGTTCTGGATGAGGTCGCTCTGGTTCTTGATCAATTCGTAGATGAGCAAGAGAGGCTGCAGATGGGACTTCATCACTTCCTCCTCGTCGTCGTGGAAGGTCTGGGTGTTCGTGTGCTGGCAGTTGATCTCGGTCTGGACAGCGGAATTGGTACAGGGGAGCTCCGTTTGTGTGGCCAGGCAGCAGCTGGCGAGCTGGGTCTGGGTGGTGCTGGTCTTGGCTGCTACCTCCACCTGGGTGGTACGCGTCTGCAGAGGCCGATTCTCCGTTTGGCTGCTTAGGGACTGGTGGCCGGGATTAAGGGTTTGCTGATCCCTGGAAATGAAGAACAGCAAATCGAAGGTATCCACTTGGATATTACTGCACTTTTGGTGGTCCGTTTGGCTGGCAGTACTGTCCAGCACCACTTTTGTTCCCACTGCTATGCTTAACGTGTGGTGGCTGGGATTGAGTGCCTGCTGATCCTGGGAAATGGTTTGCACCAAATCTGAGGTATCCACCTTGCTGCTGATCCACTCCCGTTGGGGCGTTTGACTGGCTGTGGTCTGAGTAAAGCCATCCTCGAAAATAACTGGTGGGGGTTTGGACCCAAACTCACTTCCTTTATTTAACATACGCTGCAAGCGACGGCGACGCTTCTGCAGCCGACTGCTCAAGGATGAAGTGCGTCGGATCCGCTTCACCTGTCGGATGAGCAGCTGTCCCCTTTGCAGCTCACAGTGAACAAAGTAACTTTGGGTTTTACTGATTAACTTGAGAAAAAAACAACCAGACCTGCAGTCTCACCGACTCACCTTATTTTCCCGCACCTGAATCGCTTGTGCAGATGAATGACACTATTTGGCGTTGTGGACATGGACACCAACAATAGTTCCTTCAGATCGATACGCATTTTAAGACTTATCCAATGCTACCTTCTGTTCACAATGTTAATACAACGCACTTACAATTTTGACAAGAACGTTTCTGTAGACCAGTGTGAATTTCTGAATTGTTAATCTCAGCCCTAGCAGTTCAAAATTATCGAAGGTGGTGCGATGTGTCGGGTTTACCGAATTTTCACACGAAACCCTTTTCGAAACTTTGTCTTCAAAAAATCAAACACGCAAACTCATGTTGCTGCTGTTGCCTAAAGTGTGCATGTATGTTGTATGGCTGCCGGGCTCCTTTGTGCCGGCAATTCATTAATAATTCAAAAATGCCGCATATGTTCAGGACCAGGACAACAACAGCGGCAAAAAAAGAAAAACAAAAAAAAAAAAAATGCATTCACTTATTCTGCAATTTATCAATACAGAGTTAACATGAAAATGGCCACAAAAACCACAGCGCAGACACAGAGGACACAAAGGAGTAGGAGCAACCCGCCCGGGGTGTTTGTTTGGCTTGCATCGGGATGTGGCTTAGGATGGGGCATGTACATGAGTATTCGAAACGCCAGACCATGGAAGCATGTGGTGGGCACTGCTAAGTACGTGTTGATTTGGGCGCTTTCGATTGGGCTCCCATGGGTATGCAATCCACAAAATCGATTGGCCCCCATTCCCGTCCATCAGCTCCTGACTGGCCTCTAATCCCGCCGGCAGGCAGAGTTTTCTTGCTGTCTTGCACTCGAAATTTATGCAGCTTCTTCGGCTTCTCGGCTTCTAAGGTTTTTTAGTCTTTTATTTTCAGTTCACAGTCAGCTTCTTTGCATACATTAACTTCGGCAGCTCGGGGGCTAAGTCTTGGCTCAGAATGCCGGGCACGTCGGCGGGCCTTCGGTTACATTTATTGCATAAAACTTAGCCAATTTCCATGATAATTTGTAACGAGCGCAAGACCGCCAAGGGCTGCAGTACTACTTTTATCGTACTAAAGGTATGCAGAACCCCAACGCTTAGTCGGTCAATAGCATTTCGCTTGACAAAGTTGAACCTCAGGACCGACTGAAAGTGCAGCAATATGATCTTCTAATGTGGCATTTTAAGCCAAGGTATCGGTGATTGCAACACCCTCCGAGATATGCATTCTAGTCGGTTCTAATGCTCCCATGCCTCTTAAATTTCCCAGCTCGAAGCGTTTGTCTTTTGCCCATGATATCCGCACTTTTCCCCCCAGATTTTCCCTGTAATTGTACGTGCCTATTTGCATTTTTATCTGCTTCGTTTTCCGCTTTCTTCCTTATTATTACTTGACACTCGAGCAGCGGCAGCGGCAGCGAGTAGTGGTAGTGGTTTTCAGTTTCACAGGGGGGCAAGCACATCATCTATTTAAAGTTGAGGAGTTGGCTTACACACTAGCCAGGCCCCGCCCAAAGGCAAAATAAAAGAAAAGCAGAACGGCTCGAAATTAAGACCTCGGCCATCTCACCTGTCAAAGTGCCGCCTGAACGACCCTGAACCCTGGCCGTGGGGTCCAATCAAACCACAGGAAGCCTAATCCCTCATAGAACTTCGCACATAAAACCAGCAATGTCGGGGCATAAAACGAAGGCCATTAAAGCAGTTTGGAATCCGCAGGTTCTTCTGCCTCCTGTGCCTCGCCTCGATGGCCCAGGGAGCCGGCAAATCAGGAGCGACTGCAGCGCCACTTTTGGCCAAGGATGTGGCCCACTTGCACCACAAGACCAAGAGGCTGGACAGAAGATCGGGAGCGGTAGCGGGATCGGGATCGGGAACGGGTCCTCTGACGGCCATCAAACAGCACAAACAACTGGCCAGAAGTGCACATGGCCTCAACAAGAAGCTGCTCAGGTGAGTTAGCACACTGGCGAAAAAAAAATCGGGGGTTCTTACTCAAATTTGTTATGTTTTTTATATTTAGTACGATACTAACAAATTATATTTATAAAATCTTCATCAAATATACAATTAGTTTGTAGCTGTACCATAAAAGCAATAAAAAAGTCTAATCCAATATCTTGTGATTTTTAAAGGTTGAGATAGATACCAAAAATTATACATTTATGAAACTTAAACAGCCTTTAAATTTGTTGATAGTATTTAAAAATATTTATAAAAACCTTATTTGGTAATAATTTTTATGAAAATGTTTTATTGAAAACCCCTAAAAATAGGCTTTGGCAACATAAAGTTGAAAGATTTAAAGAAGAGGTAACATCAGCTAAGTATCTTTGAGCTCAAGAATTAAAAAATTTAAATTATACCTTAAGATTTTGGTTTCATTTCTTTCACTGCTAAGTAAGACAGGCAGGAGGGGTAGGTGCACGCCTTTTATTTGGGCTTAATTAAAATCCCGTGTTCGGTGCCAGCCATAAATAATGTAATGATATATTCATAGAAAGCGCTTACAACGTTTACCAGACACTAAGAATTTCTCCACCCGCCGCTATTGCATATTCCATGCCCAAACTTTATTGGTCATTGCAGCCAGATGGGCTTCATGAAGGTAAAGGCGCCCAACAGCCACAACCGGAAGCGACTGGCGGTTGAGTCACGACGCCATTCCTCGCGCGATGATTCACACATGTTCATCATCAAATTGCCTCCAAATATGCACTACTATGCAGGACCCGGTGCGAAGAATGCCTTGCCGGACCAGCAGGACAAGTCGATTGGTAGTAATAGTGGTGGTGGTGGTGGTGTTGGCAAGAAACATGGCAACGCACCCAGCAACAAGATGACAGTGGCAGCAACATCAGTGGCGGACACACGAGCAACATCAAGCACGCCAGCAGCAGCAACAGCAGCAGAAGCAACAGCAACATCGCAAGTTACTGAGGCGTCGGCGTTGAAAGCTAACGGGAAAAAGGTAAACGGGATTCCATTAGGTTACCCCATAGACATCAGCACACACAATGCTCTGGTCTGTCCCCTTCTGGCTATGGCTAAAACTGGCTCTCACCCGGGTAGTCCAGCGATCTGGCCAGGTTTGTATTTGGGCCTAGACCGCGATAAGCATCGGCCAGCGCATGCGCATAAAACAAATTGCAAAACGGCCAGAAGAGCCCACGAGAGGAGAAGTGGAAGTGGCAGCGAAATGGATTACCCATTTCGTAGACTTGGTAACAGACTCTGGCCAAGAAAAACATGCGGCTGCCGGCTGCCGTGGCAGTTCGCAGTTGCAGTTGCAGTTGCTATTTATATGCGTGTTACCCCCAATGCCCGAAATGGGTATGTTGGGCTAAAAATAGCATGTCGATAGGGTCCGTCATGGCCAGCCAGCCAGCCAGCCAACCAGTGGGTATCTGGAAGTCCAGAGAGACACCGATTCCGATCCCGATACCGATCCCCAATAACATACAACATTCCGAGCTGTAATACATGGCCTTTATAGAGCTGGGGCGCTGAATTAATGCGGCAAGTGTCAATGTCAGTGGATGTCGGACAGGCTGTGGCACGAAAATTATTACGCTCTCACGGAGTCTGGCCGCTGAACCAGAAATTAATATGCAGGCCATTAACCAAGTCCAAGCTTCAATTAAAAATGCAATTTGTTTGGGCCTAGGATGGCATGGAGAATGCCTGATTTAGACGCCAGAGCACGGCTGATTTATGGGACGCCAGTCGTAGTGTACGGGTAATGTTGTCTAATCAGTGCGCTTTCAATTGCAGGTCTCGTTTCCCTTCAGCTCGAACGGCCGGCCCGGCCGCATCTACCACTGGAACCTGCCTGTCCTGAAGGAGGCCCTCTCGAAGAAGGCCCACTTCGCCCATGTCTCGGCGGCGGATCGGAATAGACTGCTGGACATCCAGAGTGTGCCCACTTGGCGCCAGCCCTGGGAGAACGAGACCGCCGAGAAGGGCTTCAGTGCGGGCGGTGGGAAGGCCAAGTACCGCAAGTCCCTTAAGCCCAAGTCGCCCACTTATTACGCACCCGCCCAGGCGGTCAGCAAGCAGAGCTTCCACAAGTATTTCGCCGGCAATGGCAAGCCCAAGGGCTTCTACGTCATCAAGGAGCACCAGAACAAGCCGCAGTTTTACCAGAACATCATCTCGTAATGGGGCTCCTCCTAGGGCTCATCTAAAATACCTTCGAAAGACTGTTGTGCCGGGCGTTCTGTTTTCAATCTTTTCGGGGGTTCCCCCATTCCGTCCAGTTTCCGCTTGGAGTAACCATTCCGAGCAACACCATCCTAGTTCTGAACTCTGCAGCAACTGTCAAACAATTGCGGAGGGTAAAGTCTATTTTTATAAAACGGCAATGAATACAATAACAGAGATGGGCTGGTCCAAGGAGGCATTGAAAGTGATTAAGCATATCGATACATTTTTCAATAAATCTTATGATTTTCATATCTCTAAAAATTCAAACTTAAGTGGGTCAAAGACTATATTAAATTTAAAACCTTTATTAAATTGAAAGCTATGTTGATACTGCAAAAGGCCCACGGACAACATTTAAATTTTGTGTTCCAAACGGTTTGCTCTTGATTTTAAACGAGGTCTTTGAGAAAAATAGTCCACACAGACTATGAGCACATATATGGAAATTATATTTTTTTCTTAAACTTTGGAAAATATTATTTTTGATTTGTGAACCCCAAAATCCACGGAGGTTATCCCTCTTTAAGACCAGCCCAGACTGCATATTGCTTAGCATCTGCGGCAAGCAATAAATTATATCATACATCAAGCTAGGTTTAAGTGCATAAACGATTTTGTTTTGATAAATAAATATTGACTGATTTTTAAATGCAAACCCCCTTCAAGTGGATGGCAGTCAGACAAAGAGCCCAAATTGGGGGGCGGAACTGTCTGCTGCGAGTTTGTTGACTTGGACAAAGGTGAAGTCGAGTCAGGAGGATGGGAGTGAGGAAAATGTGAGTGTCTGTGGCAAATTTGGCTGCTGTCACGACAGAGACACAAGCCGAGTTCTTTGGCTGCCCAGGCAGCGGAACACTCAAGCCAAAAAATAATCAAAAAAAAATCAAAACAAGAAAAACAGAGCTAATTATATAAGAGGCTATAAGCCGGGCGTGTTCTGACTGAGCCCTATAGGAAGATTGAAGATTGGGTTTGCAAACGGAAGCGGGGCGAGCGTGCGCATGCGCAGTTTCTCATTTGGCAGATAAAGCCGCAGACAGATACAGATACAGATATAGATACATATTCGTAAGACAGCGCCAAGTCGCCATAAGTAACAGCCCCATAATGACAAAAAATCGGGCAGACAGACGGCGCACCTCCAAACTGCCGCATAAATAATGTTGTTTGTATGTTCTTCCCTTCTCGTTTGCCTTTTATTTTTCTTTTTGGCGACTCTGGCGCATAATTGTTTTCGCGGCTTATATTTTCCCGATTCTGACTCTGACTTTGCTGACTCACGAGCGTTGAACTTTTCACCCGTATCCGTGGCATATTGAGTGCGCGGCTTAAGTAGATATAATGACTTGTCGTTTCGCTGGCAAAGAGACGTAAATCTTTTTTATGACAAATGCCTTCAACTGCCAGGGAAAACGGTGGATGGAGGATGGAGGATGGGTCATTGAATTTTTATGCCCATCATCAGGGGAAATGGTAGGCAGTCTATGCAGATAACCGTTCTAGCAATCACATGTCGGATAACACTGGTTTGGCCGAATGTGCGCTGTCGCAGTTGTTGCCACTTGTTAACGCCATTTCCGCCTGTCATATCAAAATAATTATCTCAAAGTGTTGCCCGAGCCGAGAGTCCTAGGAACCCAAACCAAACCAAACCAAAGTTACTCAACCCCAGACAAGCCAAAGCAAACCAATGAAATAGAAGACTCGTTTGCGTGCGCGGCAGTTCAGCGTTCTATCTGCAACTACTGGACAACTTGATCTGTAGAACAAGTTCCTCACGCAATCTTAATTGCAATTATGTAATTCGAAATTTTTACTAATTAAACTAACATTTCGCCTAATCGTATTTGCATTGCACTCGAGGCATAAGCAATTGAAATCACGTATGTATATGTGCCGAGTACCAATAAAACAAATCATTTTTTTTTTCGTACATTTGATTTATGTAACTGCTGTTTTCCAGCGTGTACCCTTAACATTAATTTTATTATATAATCCTTCTTGTTTTTTGGCTTTGTTTAAGAGTAATGAGGTCGGAAAGTTTTTCATTTGTCTAATTTCATTATAATTTGTTAAGCTGCTCACTTCCTGTTTTCTTCACTTTCCCAATCAAGTGATTTGGCCTTTTTTTATTGGTAACAATACAAAAAATATATAATTTTAAGTGCCAGCTAAGAAGAGCTTATATTACTTGAGTGCCAAGACATTTGTAGTAATAGGGGAAGAAAGGCACATGATATTCTGTATTCGTCATAGACATTAAGCAATTTACAATCATGGCCTTTACGAATTGATTTGGTCCACTTTTTGGAACAAAAAAAAAGCCTGCATTTGTCAGTTGGCTTATCAAAATGAATGCAGTAATCTTTATTTTGGTAATCCTAAGCCTGAGCCTAGGTTTCTCAAATCCAATGCCACCTGAGGCAGCTGCCACCCGCAAGCCAGGTCCTTTAATTGGAGTGCCTCCCAAGGTTCCCGAAGGCAAATAATATGGTCAATTTAAAATACTTGATACTTTACTACCTAATATAATATAAGTAAGAGAATGGAGTAAACGACGAATACGATTCCCTTTTAATAAGTATTTTTATTAAACGGTTACAGGCTTACTAAAATATTTCAATATTCAAACTTTAAGGTATGCAACATTTTAAAGTTATATTTTAATTTCAAGCAAGCCGACCGAATCCATCACCAATTAGTTCGCTCTACTTAAAAGCGTTAATTTTATAAGGCGGAGTTAATCACTTAACTACTTAAAATGAAGGTAACAAACAGCAATCCTCTTTTTAGCAATCTTGGGCGCAGCCCAAATGCCCCAAATAACAAATGTTACAATTTTAAAAGTTGAAGTAAATTACGAAAACATATACTAAGAAACAAATTCATCAGTTTGACTTCGATGCAAATCGACTTGCAATTTATTTATTGTTTAGTTTTTAAATGTGTTAGCAATAAAATTCAGTATTTAGGCAAGCTAGTTTTCTTTCTCTAAATAAATTTTGGACCTAAAGTTGACGTTTATAACAATGCTACATTTGAGATAAGTAGTTTAATATTTAAAATATTAACATTCTTGCAGCAAGATTACAAAATAGCACATAATTACAAAAATATATTTATCGTAGCAATATTTGAAATCATAAATTGTCGGTGCTAAGGGCGCGATTGTCTCTAAAGATGAGAAATCTTGTTTGTCCAAATTGTTTTGGTCACTCCAGAATCACAAGCGCAGCCACCTTCGTTCTGTTCATATCAGCTGTTTGGGTGAAAATAGACTGTTATTCCTTAAACTTTTATAAGACCAAAAATCATGACAAGTGTAACAAATACAATCAAATTGTGAATTTAATTAGTAGAAAATCTATTCATAAATAAGGAAGCATTTACTATATTCAGGAGTTTTCATTGTTGCTGAATTAAGTGCAGTTTTAAGATAAACTTGCCGCCTGCGCAGGCGCCAACTTTTTTGTAAACATTGCCGCCCAACCCAAAATGCAGCAACAGCAGCCCCCAAAAAACACCTCTGAACACAAAATCGGCACAAGGACGCGCCAGTCAGTCAGGAAAAATCAATAACAACACAGTCGCGAAGCGACGCGGGCCGGAAGTGCATTTCTTGCATTACTGGGCGTTGAGTAACGCCACAGGGCAGGGAAAAAATAAATTATAAAATTCTTTGTGCCAATAGTCTGTAGAAAAACCCAAATAATATGGTGGGCAAGGGATCGAGCGGCTTGTGTGGAGACACGAGCACGGGCAGCAAGGAACGCCCTGTTTTTATTCCGCCGCGGAAACGTCAACAAACCAAGTCGGAGGCCAAAAAGCAGAACTATGTGGACCACATTGTCAGTGTGCAGGTGAGAAATGGGAAAATAGTCTCCAAGATGAATCAATAGTGTTGTTCGAACAAAATATTCTATAAGTATACTGTTCCTGCAGTACTTACCAAAGTCTTAATTATCTGAATTTTATGTCTTAATGATTCGGTTAATAAAAAATGATTCTCGATTGCGATTTCAACAGTTCTTCATATTTTGCACGTTCCATAGAAATAGCCACATTATTTAGCTTATAGATCAAAATAATTATGTGCCTTTTGGCATTAAAACATAATTTTCGGTTTAGTTTCTATCTCGTTAAGCCACATTTTCCATTATTCGTTTTTTACTAAGATTAAAGATTAATAAATATATAAATATGGTTTATATTCTTTAAATCATGGCTAAAATTAACAATCCGATTTCTTAAGCCATAAAATATTATAAGACAACATGATTCAAACACTATTGATTCATGTTCTAATGAGTAATACACCAGTTTATATATTGTATAAACCATTTTCCATGTTTTTATTCTAGCAAAATCGGCCAAAACTATCTCCCTCGAATCCAGGCCTCGAAGAGGAGCTGCGCAAGTCCAAGCTGATCATCAAGAACAAACAGCCGCTGCCCCAGCTGCCCGGGGAGCTGGGTGTTCCCGGTGGTGCCCACGACACCCTGGCCAGCACCCACTCGGCCAGCTCCACGCAGCACAGCCAGAAATCGGCCCGATCGAACAGCAATCTCAACGAGCTGCAGAACATCGAGTCCATCTCGCAGGGCACGAAGTCCACGTCGCAACGGCACGAGAGCAGCACGGTGACGCCCAGCAGCTGTTGCTACTCGGAGAGCAGCCTGGACGCCAAGTTGAGCAAGTCGCAGGACTGCCTGAGCAACCGGTCGTCCTCCAAAAAGCGGGTGAACATCCGAACGTCCGATTTGCACGGCGGACAGGGACAGGGACAGGGACGGGGACGCAACCAGCGCTCCTCGCCGGAGATAGCCAACTACGAGGACCTGGAGTCCGGGGAGACCAGTGTGCTGAACAACTACGACCAGAGTCTGGAGAGGGGCTACCAGGCGCAGGCGCGCAAGGGCGAGGGCGGCAACTACCTGACCATGACGGGCACCATCAAGCGGGGCCGCAAGAAGGGCCAGTCCGTGGACCTGCAGATAAACATCAGTCGCGAGGAGCTGGAGCAGCTGAATGCCCATGCCATGGCCAGTGATTCGAAGAAGGGCGGCAACCTGTGCTGCACCTGCAGCTGCGGCACCGGCCTCCACATCCTGCTCATCTCGCTGCTCTGTCTGCCTTTTGTGACCGTCATCTCGGCGGTGTACTCCTTCTACATTGGCACCCTCACCTGGTACAACATGTTCAACTACTACTGCGAGGAGAGGACGTACCTGCACAAAATCCTGGTCACACCGCTGCTATTCGTCGTCTATCCGCTGGCCATCCTGCTGTGCACCTTTGGACTGGGCATTTACTCGGGAGTGCGCCAGCTGAGCCTGCAGTACAGCAGCTGGGTGAACGACATCACGGACATTGAGAAGGGCTTCTACGGCTGGCTGTGCGGCTTCCTGCGGATGCCCGACTGCAGTCCCTACGAGGTGGTCATCCTCACTGACATCTGTGTGGCGCCGCAGGATCCCCAGCGGTTGCATATCAACAAACCGCGCCAGGAGCTATCCATGTAGGCAGCCTGGCCCCGCATTTTCGACCATAAGTGTGATATTCAAAGAAAAAACGTAGTTACAAACGTACGATCAACACATTAAGTTTCCTTTGGCCAAATTTGTTCCTTTCACATTGACATAATCGTATGTCTGCTTTATAGAACCGAAACACAGTCAGTATAAAAGCCAGCAGTTAGATATCGCAGCCAGAACATAATCCAAACCCTAGAGAGCCTAACATTAAGTTACTAAAAATCTAACACTCGCAAAGCTTATAAATACCCAAGTTCGAAGTTCGGAAGCCCGAAACAGATATAATCTTGCAAATGTCACTATAAATAATTGCTCAATGTGTAAATGTCACAGATAATTGTTATATTTTCAAAGAGGAATTTACACTCATTTTTTGTCTAAACCACAGTTTGGGAAAACCCCGAACGAACCAATTTAGTCCGCCAAATAAAAACCAATGGAATATAATAATTTGATTGTTAACCGAATTGTAGTTTGTTAGATATGATTTAGTAGTATAAGTTATTTTTATGAACTTTATTCCATCCACTATTATTTGGGACAAGTGCAAGATTATCAAATAAACATTTAACTGTTGCAGTTGGGCACTAGCCTGCAACTTGAAATTTTGCTTTCCTTTCTAACTCAAAGCCAAATTTAAAACCATATAACAAACATATTACCGAACTGAAATAGCATTTACAGAATTATGCATTTATCTTCAAAATGAACTAACACCAAATAAATCAGCCAATTTAAATGCGCAGTCGACGTGATGGAAACTTTTTCATAGTTTTAAGCAAACATTTTTTATTTCTACGCCAATAAAAATAAAAACCGCAGCAAAGCCCACATATATACACATAGATATACATATATAAGCAAACGTTTTTAAAATAGAAATTCTATATGTTAAGAATCCGAATATCAAACACTTATTGAAATGAATATATTAGCCAGAGAAATAAAACCAATAAAACTATTTAGCAACAACAAAAACCTGATAAAAAGTCTTATTGCGTTGTTTAATTACTACTTATGATTTCTTTATACATATACAGATAACGAAACATATATATGTGTACACTCGTAAAAAAAGTATTCAAAAGCAAAGCCATTTTTAAACATTAACACAAAAACGTAAAATAATTACTATCCGACTTTCAGAATAATTCGAAATGGAAAACTTATTAAGCAATCCTAAAAACTTTTATTCCACTGAGTTGGACTAAAAAAAATATTATAAAAAACATGTTATTACTTTTAACTAGTTTATTTTTAATTTTGTATAACCTTTATGACCTGTAATTCACCCCCAGTCTTTCTTTCCCCTGCATAATGGCTATTGAGATTCTAAAAGTTTTGAAAAAGTTCTGAGTGTAAGTAAGCAAAAAGTCTCGGAGAGAAGAAAACACAGAGAGAAAGGGAGCTTTTTTCACTTTTGTTGTTGCCGGTTCGAGACGCCCACACACATAAAGTGGTAAATAAAAAGCAGATGTTCTCGGGTTTTTAAGTAAGTGGTGTAACAACATCGAATTACAGACGATAGCAAATAAAATGAACAAAAGGGGCTCGATTTTCTTGACAATTACTGTAATTTAATAGGCCTAGCATTGACAAAATTGACAATTTTCTTGCAAGTGTCTTTAGTGCAAATTTCTTTAAAATAATAACTGTGCTCAACTTTCACAGATCATAGACTATATAACCGATTATAACTGTATTCCGGTCGAGGAAACCAACACACGCAAAAATGGGTAAAGAAGCTAATTTGAATACTTAGCTATTTATATAGTACACCACTATGAAATCCGACTTGCGAGCGCAGCATATCAAACGAATCGGATACTGAATTCAGTTCTAAATCGGCTTTCAAAGCAAGCAGGCGTGTTACGGAAAAAATCAGCAACAATCATGGCAACAGATAATTTGACAGCCGTTCTCCACGGAATCGAGGACCTGCGACTAGTAAGTTTAAACCGGAACTAAATTAGGCAAATGTTTGCCAACTACTAATTCACTTTGTGCAGGAGCAACGCCCGATTCCGGAAATTGCCGACGATGGTAAGTAATAAACGTATATTATTTGCAAATGCGGTCAAAATAATAGTATGTAGTTTAATAGCTTATGAAAAAATAAAATGAAAAAAGAATCAACTAAAAATACATATAATTATAAACATGCTATATGGGACATATATAAAAGTCCGTATGTATCAAAGATAAAGTTTTTTTTTTAATTTTGAATTTTAAACTGTTTATTAACGTATATTTAAAAAAAAGAAAGCACTATGAAAAATTAAAAAAATTAAAATCGTCCTATGCCATCAATACATTTTTTTAAACTCTTTTTACTATTATTGTTATTATTAATATTTAGACCGCAACTGTGCATACACACATTAAACATGTTAAAAAAGCATTATGTATTTTTATATTTTCAAGCCAGCAGATTTTTTTATAAAGATCTAATGCTATTTAATTAAGCCTTTTCACGTTTTATAACTATTGACAATTTAAATGGCTTTGATTAAAAAAGGTTTTTTATAATAGAAAATAGTTAAATACATTACTATTATATTTGATCCGATCAGTTAGGTTTTTTATGGTTTAAAAATTGGAAATGTATTTTTAAGTTTGAGGTATTTCTATACAAATTTTACAATTACTTTAAACTTAAATATAAATTTAAAAAAAAAAATATAACATGGTGTGTTTAAGAAGGTATTTTATAAAAGTTTACCTGATGTTTTATGACCTTAAATATATATAAAATGTCAACTAACTTTTTAGAGGTACTCCTGGCGATGGACAGTGTGGGAATCTGCGGCTCGGACGTTCACTATCTGGCTCACGGGCGCATAGGGGACTTTGTGCTGACCAAGCCGATGATAATTGGCCACGAAGCCGCTGGACTGGTGGCCAAGCTGGGCAAGAATGTGACCAACCTGAAGGTGGGCGACCGTGTGGCCATCGAACCGGGTGTGCCCTGTCGCTACTGCGATCACTGCAAGCAGGGCCAGTACAACCTGTGTGCCGACATGGTCTTCTGCGCCACGCCTCCCTACGATGGAAACCTGACCAGGTACTACAAGCATGCCGCCGACTTCTGCTTCAAGCTGCCCGATCACGTCAGCATGGAGGAAGGAGCCCTCCTGGAACCCCTGTCCGTAGGAGTCCATGCCTGTCGTCGCGCAGGTGTCGGTCTGGGCTCCAAGGTGCTCATCCTTGGCGCCGGTCCCATTGGTTTAGTCACCCTGCTGGTAAGATAGGCTATTAATATGACACGAAATAAATGTATTGCAGTTAAACGCATTGTATTTGCCAACTAGGCTGCCCAAGCCATGGGTGCTTCGGAGACCCTCATCACCGACCTGGTGCAGCAGCGACTGGATGTGGCCAAGGAGCTAGGCGCCACGCACACGCTGCTCCTGCAGCGGGATCAGTCCGCCGAGGAGACCGTCAAGGTGGTTCACCAGACGATGAGCGAGGTTCCGGACAAGTCCATCGATTGCTGCGGAGCCGAGAGCAGTGCCCGTCTGGCCATCTTTGTAAGTGGATTTATAATTTCTCATTATGGCTTTCCTGGACCAAAGACCCTTTCTTTTAGGCCACCCGCTCTGGAGGTGTGGTGGTGGTGGTGGGCATGGGTGCTCCGGAGGTCAAGCTGCCGCTGATCAACGCCTTGGCACGTGAGATCGACATCCGCGGAGTTTTCCGCTACTGCAATGAGTGAGTTATCAGCTGGATTCAGGGGTCATTAAAACTGCTGATTACTCCCAAAAATTCAGCTATTCCGCCGCTTTGGCTCTGGTGGCTTCGGGCAAGGTGAATGTGAAGCGTCTGGTGACGCACCACTTCGACATCTCGGAGACGGCTCAGGCGTTCGAGACCTCCCGCCGCGGCACCGGCGGCGCTATCAAGGTCATGATCCACGTCCAGCCGAGGGACGCCAACAACCCAGTAAAGTTCTAAATATACAGCCTTATCTTCAAACCGAACTAAGCGTACTGATTTCCGGTAATTTTGGTAAACATTTTGGGTGTCTAGAGCGATTCCAGACGTAGTTTGAATTCCCTGAGATTGAGTTGATTTGAATACAATTTGTTATATGAAAATGGTTATCAGAAAGATAAGGGACATTCAATGTTTCTGAATATAAAAAAAAAAAAAACAAAAAATAACTATTAAAGTTAATGTTTTAGGTAGAAGCATATTTTACTTCCAAGCTGTTAGGAATAGGACCAAAAAAATAAAGTTAACACTAGTACGTACTGTTGCGTTAAATCAAAAAATGTATTCTAAGAAACGACCATTAAGTGTCGTCTGAGTAAATACTTGTAAAGTATTGTTCAACGCCTAAAACTTGAAATATTAATTGGTTTTCGAATACAAAATCTAGCACATTAAACAGTGAGAGTAGTTTTTTTTAACTACCCTAATGTACATCCAAATAGCATTCATGTATTTTTATCTTTTCAAAGATAAGAATAAACAAAGAAAAATTATAACTTCCTTTGAAAATTAGTTCTTACAAAAGTTAACATTTTCTATATATTTTTCAAAATGCACTCAAAATATATTTGAAAATGTAATTTATCCTATCCTTTCCTACCATTCCGATGTAGACCACTAGTTGAATTATAAAGCCTGCGTCTTATTTTATTTCACTAATATATTTAGGTGGAAAGCTAGTTTCTTAAAAAATCCTTCGATACATGAAACTATTGGATTTAAATTGTATTAATAATTTTGTCTACGACTTACGATTAATAAATGGCTAGGTCTAAAACAAACATTTAATGAACTCTAGGGCTTCTTCTGGTCCCCTGGGCTCCCCATCGCCGTCATAGTCCCTCAGTTCCGGCTGCCTGTTCCGGGCAATGTAGCGCAGATAGCCACGAGTGCTCTCCAGCCGCGTTTGCAGCTTAATGTCCCAGCCATCGCGACGTGGCGAGGAGAAAATGGTAGAGCCGTGGCAGTTGATCATCTGCAGCCAGCGGGTGAAGCCCACGCCCAGGTATTGGTTCGCCTTGTCTACGACCATAATGGGCAGATCCTCGCTGGAGAAGGCGGACCAGTTTGCGCAGCTTCCGCTGCTGGATGGGCCAGTAGTAGCAGGCAGGGTCGTAGAGCATTACCAGCATGTCGCCGCTGCACTGCTCCCGGAGTTCGAAGTAGTTCCTTGGCGCTGAATCCTGTGCAGCAGTGGGGCCCACGACCACGGCCTGGAAGAGTTGCTCCTTCAGCAGCTGGTCGCAAAATTCTCTCAAGTACTTCGCGCTGACCAGCTTGTGCATTTCGTAGACTCGGCCCTCGCAATCCTTGCCATAGATCCGCGGGGGCAATCCCTTCCTGTAGCTGCCAAAGTCTTCCGGATTTAAATTACTATTGAACTGCGCTATGCTGGAAATGTCTCTCAGGCCGAAGAGAACCCGACCGGCGAACTGCTGTGCCACCTCATCGATAAGAGATTTCCACTTGTTCAGGTTATCACCGTGCCAATTGGCCGCGAAATGAAACGCCACCACCTGTGGCCCATCGAATGTGAAATTATCCGGCGGTGATTCCCCCGCCTTTCTCGCTGGTCTCCACAACAGCCACGGAATGAAGTTATTGTCAATGCTAAGGGTCCTCACAAGAGTCATTTCTTCAAGATATCGCAGTTATCAACTATCTTGTTGTTTTGAAAGAGATACAATTCTTTTTATACACGGCCGATACCCGGTAAATTTCACAACACAAAAAGCTCAGAAATGTGAGCTTTCCTTAACATTGTTTACGGTTTGAAATTTAACATAGGTGTCTACAAAGAAAAACTTTAACATTTCGTAGGAATGCGACCAGAAAACAATTGTTCAAATTAATATTCTATATTTCTGTTGATTTAATTAACTTAAACCAAGCGGGTATTGATAAATTTAAAGTCAAATTCAAACTAGTAGTCTCTAACAATCTAAAGTCAACACTATTTCAGATTTGACTTATTCCGTTTAAGTTAAGAGTTAAACTAAACCAATTGAAAGTTTATACATTCATGAGCCATAAAATAAAATACATGCAATTCATGTCTTACCACAAAAACATAAAACTTCCATTATTAAAAAAAAAACTAACTAAACTCGGTGATGTAGTCAGTTTTTATTAAAGTCCCTGAATATTTAAGTGTAATAAAAATAATTTAACGAGTAATGGGGCTACAGCCCTGTCATTTTCGTTTGGAAATTTAACAAAAGATAATCATAAATAATGATTTGAGTTTGGCTGAAAAGCGAAACGCTTCTGCTCGGATAACGGATTACAAACTAACATTTATATATAACTTAACATGTGTGCTAATTGTTTTTGTGTGTGTTTAAAGCGCTTAGATAAACAGAACCCCGTACGCATAACCGAAAACTAATCAACAGCTAGCCTATGCCTTAATATTATTTACGCACTGCGGTAAATATATATATAAAAATAGAAAATACAGTGCAGATTCTGAATCGGCGCACAAGGGCCTCGGGTGCCACAATGGGTTTGAGCCGCCATTAACCCCGACTCCAAACCTGACCTAGAATCGCACCTGCTTGAGCTTATCGTAAATGCTAAAGTACAGGGCTGTCGTCATGCTTGACTTGAGGAGTGTGGGGGCCACGCCCTTGTACAAGCCCCTCACGCCCTCCTGGCGCACGGTCAACCGCATGCAATCCCAGACTCCGTGGCACTGCAGCGTCTGTCCGAAGGTCTGGCGGTTCGACTCGAATCCCTGGATCTGTAGCCGTTTCTTGATCAGATCGAAGGGGTACACGATCGTCTTGGACAGCATGCCCGATGAGGCGCCCAGTCCAAGCAGCGTCCACGTGGGCAGTTGGCTGCGATCGCTGACCTCCAGGAAAGCACAAGCCCAGTCGCTGAATAGGCGATAGGCCATGAAGTTGGTGCCCATAAGCGGCGTGATTTGCAGCAGGGCGGAGGACAGACCGCGGTACATGCCGCGTGGGCCCTCGTGCCGCACAATCGCCGACACAGCCCTCGTTGCGTTCCTGTATCCTTTACTAGTGTCCTGGGCGATCAGCCGAGTGCGAATCACATCCAACGGCGTGGAAATGATCACCGCTGCTCCTCCGGCCGCAGCTCCACATAGGAAGTTAGACAGATGCTGGTGATCCGCCAGGTAATTGGTCTGCTTGGCCATCAGGCTCAGCTGTTCGTACGTCCAGAACTGGCAGATGCCGTACATGATGCTCAGCACCTGGGCGGGATTGTGGCCCTTCCAGAAGGCCAACAGCCCCTCCTCCCGATAGATTGTCTTCACCGCCTGACCGATGGATGTGTACTTGGAGGTAAAAGCTCCTGCTCCCTCCCTAAAACGACTTTTGCCCAGCGGTTCCACCTGCAGCTGGAAACGGATCTTGAGCACGTCCAGCGGTTGGCAGGTAGACCGAGTGATGGCCGCCGACAGTCCACCGGCCAGCATTTGATGAAGCTGCTCCCGCGTACTGTGCCTGCGCCGCGGGACGGGAGCTGTGGCTGCGGTTGCCTCGCTGCTCGAGCCTGTGGTTACCGCCATGTCTGCGTCGGAGCTGCTTTGGTTTTGCTTTTCGTGTGCGTATGTTTGCTCGTGCGGATTTCACTTTTATTGCTACGACTGCCAACTCTTCAATGGTATTTCTGTAAAACACAGAAACCCAGACAGGCGGAGACAACGTTATTACAGTCGAAATTCAGTAAATGCAAACACTAACTGCGGCATTCAATGTCAGAATTACTTTAAATAAGAATTAATTAGTTATTTATGAGACGCTTTGTATTTTTTAAAATGAAGGGTTCCCCTCTACCTAATAGTTCGAACAAAGGTGTGAATAATTGTGAAATTCCATAGCAATATAATATAAATATATTCTCGTTGAATTTGAAAAGCTATAGTCAGGTCAATAATTTATAATTAAATGTTTTTGAATATAATTACTCATAATGATTTCTAAAAGCTACTAAAATATAGCTGATTCAAAAATTGTTTGACATAAAAAAAGTAGTTAAAAATAGGTGTAAGACCAAATATGTTTGATTTTTAGAAAATCTCAGTTAGGGAAGCCCGACTGTAGCTTTCATTCAAAGTGCTTTAGAGGTGCGGCCGGGCGCTAACTCCGAATTGTTTACGCATTCATCAACTTGATGGCCAAATTGATGTGTCAAAATGCGTAGTCAGGAATTAGGAAATAGTAGGAGTGCATTTTCATGATGGGGAACTTACAAGTGTCATGCTCAACGGAGCGTGGGGATGCCTTTGCTATTACTTTACTATTATCTCTGTTATGCCCAAGTGCGCGGCAAATTCGCAGAGCTCTCGAAATAGACTCCAGGTTCAAATGGCCATTCATTGATTGACAAAAGTCTGGTGGGTATTCGGGTTTATCAGCGATTTCACTTTTTACCGCTTTTGTTGTTCGATGTCTCGTTGTCCGTTGTGCGTTGTCCGCTGACCGTTGTCCAGCCCCAAAATACCGATGCTGCTGGCCAGATAAAGAGACAAAGGCGGGGGGAACACGCTTGAGATTCGGTTGATGATTGCCTGTAGGTCGGGAGGCGGTCGGAACTCACCTGGAGCCGATGCGTCCGTTCGCGGGAAGAGTGCAGCAGTTACTGTGGCTGCGACGCTTCTTCATTACAGGCAGCGGCCCGTGGATTGCGTCAAAACTTTCTTTTTGCCAGGGGTTTGGGATTGTAATAGCCGCCGAGATGCCGTTGCAGTTGTGCGGCGATCCGCTGCCCAACCTGGCCACTTCCACTTCCACAAACTGGTTTTCCCAAGCCGAGCTCTGCTCTACTCCAACCACAACAACAAACCAAGTTACGTCGCCAAGTGCACGCAGTCAGCTGTTTGGGTCGTTGGAGATGAGCTTTCCATACAGTGACAACTATCGGTTATATGGAGCAGCTAGCCACAATAGCCAGAAAAGGCTAAGTACCCCTTTTGAATAGCTGACTTCGAGATTATGATATATCAATTCTATTAATGCCCTCATCCACACAATGTTTTAAATAAATTGCTTATCATTTTATGATTTTAGCAGTCATTGTTTAATAAATCTGATCACAAAAATTATTATTATCCCTGGTCCCGCAACACTTAATTTATGCTCTAGTGCATAATGCATATTTATTTAAATAAATTTAAATGTATTTTAATCATAGACTATTAATTAAAAGCCAGATTTGGCTTTAAAAAGCTATATATAAAACAGCTAAACAGCGATTTATCCGCAGCTGACACGAACATGGCGTTGCCACTTAGGCGCGCTTTTATGTTTATTAAAATGGCTTAAAAAGTAAAATACAAAACGGTTTATCAGTGGTCCCTATTTCCAGCCAATTCCGCCGGATTGAGCATCTGCTGGAGCACTGGGCGTGGGCTTATAGTCAGGTGGTATGCTGAACCCAAGCACCTCGAAATTGCCACCTGGAGCAGCAGCAGCGGCAGGAGTATTGGTCGGATATGGTGGGGATTTCTGTGAGGCTGTCGTCACAGGATTCGGTGTAAATTTAACAGGAGTGGCATGTGGTGCGCCCACCACATTGGGATAGAGACTGGGGGCATTAGCTGCCCCAATGGCTCCATTTGTTCCCGGCTTTCCGTCGAAGGGGTAGACGGGATATCGTGGCTTAAAGCTATTGGACTCGAACTGTTCGTCACTAACGTCTTCCTGGAAGTTGGGAGAACCTAGGCGGGAGACACAACCTTTTACCAACCCTTTCACGTCCCTTGTTTTTAATTAAAGCTCACCTGGATGAGAGTTTCCACTGGGCGAGGATTTCTCCGCCTCCTCTGGACCCTTATCATCGGCACTTCCCATCAGCGGCACTGTGCCAATGGTTAGTGGAAAGTCCACAACCAGATCCCCGCCTCCATGCAACTTGAAGGTCTTGGCAATAAAACGGAGTGTGTAGCCGACCCGAATAGGATCCTTTTCGCTTTGTGTGGATGGAGTGGTCGGTGGCACCATCAGGAACTCGTCGAACTTGGCCTTGTTGTGCTTCAGCACCTCACCGCAATGTTTGTCCGCCACCCTGGTTTCGGTGACCTTGAGCTGCTCCTTTGCCCCGGAGGAGTTGGCCCGATACGAAACGTTCTTGAGCAGACGCACCTTCACATCCATGCATTGCACATCCGACTGGTTGTCCAGCACCAGATGGAAGTGGATCTTTTGACCGGGCACGTAGGCTGAGTACGAGGTGCTTACGTCCATGATCATAGGTTTGTGGGCACCGAAGATCGAGCCCCACCAAAAGCTCTTTGACTCCAGACGCTTTAAGGGTTCCTAGAAAATATTTTCTTTATTAGGGTATCCAACCTTAAAGGAACAGGGTTACCCACCTTATACTCCTGACGCTTGTTCAGATCGTGTGGCAGGATCACCGAAAAGCACTGCTTGAAGGTATTGTTGTAGCGCACGGCGCGATCGATGGTCAGGGTGACCTCATGCTTGATCTGACCGTGGGCTCCATTAAAGGAAGTGGGCGCATTGGGCGGTATAGTGGTCCGGAAGGGAAAGACGTACTTGCCCATGGGCAGCTCCAGCTGGGATCCGCCGGCTTGCCCGTACACCGGCTGGTCAGTGCTATAGTAGACCTCGGTGGTGGTGTATGTCACCAGTGTCTTGGTTGGCTTCCCGTCCTCGCCCACCCGCTCCTCGCTCTCTTGCCATCGCGTCTCGCCGTAACCGTTTATGGTTATAAAGATCGCTGCAATTAATTTATCTGTACTACGGGTATGTAATTCAATTATGCATTTACTTTAATTGTAGTTGACCTAAGGCCTTTTATATACTCGGATGTAGTATTGTATTGGAAAATGGATCGGCAGTCACACAAAGCCTTTTCGTTCATTCACTAACAATAATTCCGAAAAAAATTTAATCATTACCATAACAAAACAAGAAAGAAAGCAAATTTCGGAAAGCCGAAGTTTATATACCCTTGCAGCTTTCATAAAATTAAATTTTCTTGAAAATGTGTTCAAACACATTGAAGCCATGATGATTTTTAGCTTAATTATTCTATCTCTATCTATCTCTATTTCTATTGGACGCAATTTCAAAATAAAACTAGTTTTATATCGCTATCAGATATCCGAAGCCAGTCAAGCGGCCACGTGTGTGTTGTATATAATATTATACTATATACACAATACATTTCGCCCAAACAGATCTACCGGCAACAGTAACAAAAGCATCGGACAACAGTACACCAACAATATTAATGACGACGCGACTACGCAACGAAAGTGGATGGGTATGGGCGTCTGAGTTTGAATGGTGGATGTATAGACATGACGTAATGGTATTGGGCCTATTAGAATACTGCGTCTTCCTCGTGTCTTTCACCTACATCGAATGGTTTTTGGACGCTCGGTGACCAGTTCCGCAGTGCCGGAGATTAGCTGACCGGCTTGATAGACCCCCAGGGGGTTGCTGTCGAAGGCAAAGGTCACCTTGCTGCTCATCTTCTCCAGAATTTGCTCCTTGGCGACGGTGTCAGGCGGTGTCGGGATATCAAGTTCCTTTGTTGGTTTGTATTGTTGATATAATAGTTGGGAGTGGTTGGGTTCGGGGGTCAGCGGAAATTCAGCTCGCGAGCACCGAACGCGAGCAGCTCTGGCTTAATACTGAATTCTCAAAAGCCACTGGCGAACTTGGAAGTGATTTTCCGTGTGCGAGAGTAACTGAGAAGGAGGAAGTGGGGCCAACAGGGGGAGGCTCACATAATAAAAATAACAAATAACATAATGTTTGCGTGTTGCTTCTTACAACCGTCTAGTTAAAAAGAATCAAATACTGTTCATTCATTCATTATCAAACATCAAACCACTATCTAGAATATGCACACTTTTTTTTTTGTTTTTAATATATATATTTATATATATTTACATATTAATGTATACCGTGCAGACACAAACAATGTTAATTTTCTGTTCTTTGCTCCGAGAAATGAAGATCTGAAAACAAGAACTTACTAAGCAAATATTAAATCAATCAAAATGATAACTGCATATCTATATGGTTTTTACTTCATCTAATTGTATCACTTGCGTAAAGTTAATCATTTCATTAATTCATTTAAATATCATCATTAATATCGCTTATAGCATATAGCTACCGTGGGAGTAATCAGAAAATTAACAAAAATAAATGGCACATTTTTTTTTTGTTTATTCTTTAAAGCATTAGTTTTATTAATTTTAAAACGATTTCATTTAGCTGCCATAGCTTCAATTTTTATAAAATTATACGTATAAATCGAAATTTAAAGAAATTGTTTCAAAACAAGCAAGTTTTGAAAAAAAAACAGATGATCTATATATATATATATATTTAAGAAACCACGAAAGTAGTCCTTTTTTGGCCTTTAAAGCCTTACATCCCTTAAAGCGGCATATATTTCCAACAATCAAATTCAAATTTTGCAAAATACGCGCTTCGCCTGGTCATCGGCAATATGGCAGCTCCGCGCAACAGCTGTTTCTGCTATCGGTCCTCCGCTCTCTGAGTTATCGAAAGAGCTGCAACTACAACAAAAGCGTAACTCTCGGGATCTCGTAAATTAATAAGAAATTTAATTATTCAACCCGCCAGCGTTCGGCAGCAGTCGAATTAAATTGGCCAGGGTGTGCGACAAACAGTTGTGGGCCATTGCAGTTAAATAGATTAGAGAGATTGCCGAAGAATTGGCCAGCGCGAAAAAAGCTCCCACTCGGCGCGGTCATTGTAGTAAATCGTATTGTTAACCGAGTGCGGGTGGTTGTGTTATACTAGTCTGCATATATTTTAAGTTAGCGGTGCAGTATTTCAACTATTCTATGTGGCGGCATTTTGATGACGAAATTATTTTTGGATAAGTGTTTGATGAGAGCGGGCAAATCGGAGGAATCATCATCATCATCATCAGCGGAATCGGAATGGAGAGCGAGCGGTTGCGAATCACGCTGGACAGCGCGGATCGGGTTTACTTCGCTGGCGACATAATTCGCGGCGAGATTTGGATGAATGTAAACAAGCGCACTAAAATACGCGGTAAGTTGTGCATTCCAAACCCAGGGCTTTCGTATTTGCCTGGAAATGCCATTTCAAAGCCCGGCTTGCATCATCCGTGACTCAGACCGCCTCAAAACACAGAAAGAAATGATTGTTATTTTTTAATGATTAATTTTATGGTTTTACATATGATACATGTGTATCAAGATATATTAAAATCATTCCTACAATTATTGACCTAAACCTGTGCTTGTATTACCAATGTAAACAGAAATAGATTTTATTTCTATCTAACAACAATCTCAAGGCGTGCAGTTGTTTTTTCTGTATTGTCAGCGGGTTTTAACTCATTGTTTGCCCAATAGCCAACTGGACTTTCGTTGCGGCCCCATTCGCTGAAACAAAGAACTCCATCAGTTAACAAAGCAGAGCGGCCATTTTATGGGGCCCCCTTACCCACCCTCCACGATACTGAGATTCTTGCCCGCAAATTCCTACAATTGCCTTCTGCACTCGCCTTTCATTCATCGATAAGCATTCAATTGCCGCCCCAATGCAATCCCAATTGAATATGCTTTCGTTCTTCACGAGCGCTGGCATTTGTTTCAGGAAATGCCAAACGCATCGCACGGGTGAGAGCGAGAAGACCAGAGGGTGGGGGCATGGCATGTGTGAGGAGAGGCCCACTATGTTGTCGTTCCGAAAATGCCATAATATGGGGCCAAGCGCAAAGTCAGGTCTAAACGAAAGAGAGGGGAGAGAACACTCTCAGCACAGCAAAGGCCAGAAAACAGACGATGATTTTTTTTAAATTTTGTAATATTTAATAATCGTTAGCATTAACAATTTAAACACACATAATATTAATAATAAATTCCAATAGGGTACTAATTCCACTTGGGGCTACCCCAATTTAATAATAAAGTTCTGTTCTTACCGATTACCTTATTTTTTATCCATCTGCCAATTCCCAATTATATGACCCTCCACTGTAGTACCAGCACCTCTCTGTTGTGATTTGCCATTGTGCAGGTGTGCGTGAGAATTGGCCAGCAGCTGGTCCGTTGCATGTGTGCGTTGGAGAGAGCGCAAGAGCGGGAGTAGATTAAAGGGAGCGCCACACTATCCCGCATCTTTCAAGTACTTTTGCGCTACGCTATGAAACGAGGGGCATTTGGGTGACAATCAGGTGAAGCCATACATGTAGACTTCACGCACTAAGCTAAAAATAGATGGACGGTGGTCCGTTAACTGCCCCAAAGTCAAAGTCGGCCGTTACGTTATCAGCGCAATTATAACAAACGCTATTTATTATCAGAGCACAGACTACAAGTACAAAAATACAAAAAAAAGGGGAGAGCTGCAAGACATTATTTTCATGACGGGAATGCTTTGTGTGGGAATATATGACGACAGCTGTCACATCGTAAGGCTTCACACTTACATTAATCAAACTTTTTCTCCTCGGACACGGCCTACAAACATACATATTACATACGTACTCATATGAATATAAATTTTAATATGTTATCCACTTAATCGAACACAGCAGTTTATTGTTAGTTTGTGCACAATGGGGAGAGTTTCGGGCTGTCCCATCACATGTTCATACGATCCCTTAGGAAGAGCTCCACTCGCGGCCAGATCTCCTTAGTCTTATTGCCCTTGAAGGTTGCGACCAGTCCCTTCTTTTCGTACCAGGCTATCACTGGCTTCATCAGTTCATCGTACAACTGCAGCCGCTTGGCCACCACATCGGGTTTGTCGTCCTCGCGCTGCGTTAGCGATTCACCCGTTACATCGTCTTTGCCAGGCACTTTGGGATCGTGGAACCCTATGTTGTATACACGGCCAGAGGGCGCGTGAATCCAGCGGTTTTTGACCCGGTCGATGATCACATCGTGTGGAATGTTCAGCGTGATCACGGCATCGATCTGTTCGCGGGCGGCCAGAGCCTCGGCCTGGGCAATGTTTCGCGGGAATCCGTCTAGGATGTAAGACTTGTTGCCCACCTCGGTTATCCGCGCCAGCACCGTCTTAGTTACGATCTCATCCGGCACCAGTTGTCCGTCGGCGATGTATTGCTTTGCCTTTTTGCCAAGATCCGTGTTCTTCACAATGTTCTGGCGCAGGATGTCGCCGGTGGAGATGTGAAGGCAGCCATAGGTTTTGACAATCAACTCCGAAATCGTTCCCTTGCCAGAGCCGGGGGCTCCGATTATCACAGTGCGAAAAATTTTCGTATACATGCCTTAGCTCTATTTCCTCTTTGTTTTGTGAGCTGGAAGATACAAGTTAAGATTTATACAATTATGCCCAACTTAACAAACTTAACCACAAAATTATATAAAAACATAAATATTTAAAGGTTTTTGTTTAGGGTTAAAATACAAAAGTCTTAATACAAATTCAGTTGTTAACCTCAATCGACTATCTGTATTGGCGAGATAAGATTATCAAGCACGCTAAAATTGTTTGATACACAACCGCTTAAGGTTATAGTTTTCGAACCAATAAATCCAAACACACAAATATTAAATTTATAACACTTGTCAGCTTTTGTGCCCGCAAATCAATATGCCACATGGCAACGAGTGTAGCGCACACAATCCCGAGAGCGGCAACAACAAACATAGGAGGCAAGCGTGGCTTTTCAGCCTTATGTTCTTTGTCTTCAAATAACCAGATATTTTTGTTGTCGCGCGCTTATCGTCCAAAGTCCACACGGAAAATTATAGAATAAGTTTCAATGTGGCGCGTGTTGTGTTTTCTGAGCACTTCTGCATTTCTGCAGTTCACTTGGCCTTGCACTTTTACTGGCTCTGTCTTTTGTTATGTAAAAATTAGCAGCTTGTAAAACCACCTTAATTAACACTTAGGCGGCACTTCGGTTTTTTGGGAAAATTTCGGGTGTCCGCCGTATCTCCGCAACAATTCTCGCCCGCGTACTAATTGTGCGATAACTTGTCGCCGTTAGTATTCTAATTTAGTGTCCGCAGCTGCGGCGGCTAATGTTTTTACTTGTTGTTCTGCTGCTGCCGGCTGGCGAATATCAAATGAAACAAGTCATTATCTTGTCGTGAATATTTGGCTCTTGTTGTTTAGCTCCCAGGCTTCCCTCTCTCTCTTTTTCTCTCTTTCTTGAATTCCCCAACTGACAGCCGGTTGTTTGCCTTCTCTTTTGAGTTACCTCTCTGCACAGAAAGTGCAGTGTAAATGGCAATTAAGGGGGATACACCCGCTGTCTCTCTTGCTCGCACGGCAGTTGCGCTCCCCACTTTTGGGGCTTTCTCTCTCTCACTGCGCGTCTATTGTGAATAACTGCAGTTTGGACTTTAATTTAGAATCTTCCATATGCAAAGCGTGTGGTATCTGAAATTTAAAACTATTTTAGGTTTATGCAACAACATTGATAGCTTTTTCAAAAGCTAGCGATTTATTTATTTTAAAAAGTATTACTCACATGTGTTATAATTATGAGCTACGATTTTTTTAAAGAATAAATCAATAGAATTTAAATTAAGAGGTGAGACCTGAACCGTACGTAAAAATGATACAAAATAGTTGGATTTTTCTTTCTTGAAAAAACATTTAAAATTATTATTATTTTATTCTATTCGGCTGCAATGTAAAATGTACAGGCGATCTAAAAATAAATTAAAAACAAGTTATTGAATATATATAACAATTTCTTTAGCTTTTTTTTTTAATTTCGGCCCGAGGTTGTGTGCTTTGTTTTATTTTGTTTCCAGTATGTTTTGATATCCTGCTGATATTGATTTCGACTTGCCTGCCTGAAGAAATGTACCCCCTAAAAACAAGTGATAAATTGTCAGAGAAAAAAGTCAACCTGTAAAATATTAAAGTGACATTTTTTAAGACTTACCAATCTTAAGACATCAACATTCTCACCAAATGAAAAAAAAAAAAACAAAAAAACCGTAAAAAAATCTAAATTTTCGATTTAGAGTTGTGTTTTAAAAAATGTACAAAAAACAGCATAGCTTACATTGATTTATGCATGCAAGTTGAAATTCGCTTCGAAAGCTTATTTATTTAGTGTTTGGAGAACACATTCGATCTTACAAGTTAGCATATCAAAATCAAATGTATGTTATCAGCTAAAAGGAAACTTAACACTCGTAGTACGTGTGGGCGTCGAAGATTTTAGTCCTGACCTCCTGGGTGGCCTCCACAAGGCCTTCTTTGCGCTCCTTGATCATTGGGTCCACTTGCTCGGCGCTAGACTTGGCATCGACCACGGCTTTTCCACTGCCTTTTCCCTCATTTGTAACGCTTTTCTCCGACGGAGCAGTCGATGGGTTATTCTCCTCTTTGCCATTTGGTGTGTCCACAACGCGGGAAACGCTGCGTGTATCATGGTTATACCAGGAGTACTTGCTGCGGTTAGGCACGGCAGAGCCACGCCCACGGCCCCTACCCCTCGGTGGGTAGCGGGATTGGTGGCGGCGCGGACTCAGGCTGCGGGAACGTGAACGTGAACGGGAGCGACTGCGCGAGCGGCGATTGCGGGTAGCAGGCGAAGGCGTGCGTCGCGGCACAAACGGAGAGGGCGTCCGGCGGGACTTAAAGGGCGAGGGCGAACGCCTCGGCACGAAGGGCGATGGCGTCCTGCGGCGATGGAATGATCGCGAACGGCGATCTCGTCGGCTGTCGTAGCGCCTAACCACAAATCGGTTGCCATAGCGGCGTGGCGAGAAACTGCGCGAACGCGAAAAGCTGCGGCGGCGGCGCGATCGCGACCTGCTTCTCGACCTGGATCGGGAGTCGGAACGCGACCCACGCCGCCGGCTGCTCCGGTGCCGCGAGCGCGAATTCCTGCCACGACGACGATGGTGCGAGCGACTTCGCGAGCGACTTCTACTCCGACTCCGGCTGCGCGAGCTGCTGCTCCGACCAACTCTCAAGGGTTCCGCTGGCGCCGCCAGACGAAGCATTCCCAGCTTGTCCATCTGCAGCGGTCGCTTCTTGATCTGAAAAGAGAGCTTGGGCGCCGGCTCCGGCGGTTTCTTTTGCTCATGGTATTTGGGCGCCGCCAGAGGATGTTCGAATCCCAATCCAGAAGCGGCGGCCGCATGACGCGATGTGCTGGGTCCCATGGTGTCAAAGTTAGATCTTTTCGATGGAGCTGGTGTTTTTTTCATCGGCGGCGGAGCAGGTGGCGGTGAGTCTCCTCCTTTGCTGGCTCCTTGTAAATAGGTTTTGATCTTGGCCTTAAGTTCCGTCTCGTTACTTGCGCTGTTCATAAGCCTAAAAGCAACACAAAGCAGGGATAATAAATCCGTATTTTCATAGATTTAACTGTACTTATACCCCACAATTAAATTGAACATTTTAATTTGTTTAATTTCATGTGAGATGCAAACACAGCTTTGGTGTTAAGCTAAATTCCCGGTACATACTTGTCTTGCCTATCACAGTGGGTTAAGCATGGAGATCTCAAGAAAATGTATATTTTTTGTGCAAGGAAGCATCTTTTGCTGCAACACTCACCTGAAGGCCTCCTGAAAATCCATCTTCTTGAGCAGTTCCATGGGATCCTCGTCCACAGACTTGGTCTTGGACCTTCTCCTCTCCTTCTTGTCCTTTTTTTTCTTGCCCTTCTTCTTGGCCTTCTTGTGCTTGCTGGCCTCGCGTAGGAGCTTCCGCACACTGGACATGGTCTCATCGTCATCCAGACGGAATTCATTGGCCTTCTGGGCATCGATGACGGCCAACTTTTCCTCCCCCGGTGGTTGAATCTGGTTTTGGGCATAGAAGGGCTGACTGATGTTGCTCTTAGCCTTGCCAGCTACAATGGGGAATAGGTTATCGATTGAAGAGGTGGAACGCAGAGGGATAAACCCTGAATCAGTGGACATGTACTCACCCTGATCCTCGCTTTCACTTTCACTGGCACTGGATGAGCTGGATTCGTCCGACGAGTGGTTACCGGTCAGGTTGATAAGCTCGGTGCTTAGTCTATTCTTACCGTCACCACTTCGCTGCAGTGCGTCCAAGGACTGACGCGCCTCCTCGTGCTGTGGCAGCAGATTCAGACAGTCGCTGTATGCCTTGACCGCCTCGGGAATGCGGTTCTCCTCCTCATAGCTGCGACCCAGGGCCACCAGCGTTTCGCCCATATACTTGCGCGCGTTCACGTGGTACTTGTTGAGGTGCAGGGCCTTCTCGAAGTCTTGCAGCCCCTTGAGGAAGTTTCCGCGGTTCGCGTAGAGGGCACCGCGGGCCACCAGACCCTCAACATTGCGCGGATCAATGTTCAGAGCTTTGTTCAGGCACTGAAAGGCCTCGACCTGTTGGCCGTTCTTAAAGTGTTCGATGCCATCAGCCACGGAGCTGATCACCGGCCAAGCAACGAAGGTGTTGGGTGCAATAGGGTGTGTGAATGATGGAATGGAATACACTCTAAAGTCTGAAGTCTGAATTAAAACTTACCGGAAGGCCCATTGGGATGCCTGCTTCTGGCGCAGCTCTGCTGCGTTCTCCGCCTCCGGGAATCCGCCCTTCAAATGGCCCATTAGCGAAAGATTCTCATTGGGCTGCAAGCCATTTAGCTGAAACAGCAAATCGTAGTTGGGGTTTTCGAACTTCAGGGCAGCGTTTAGCTCATCCTCGTAGTGTTTCACAGAAGGATGTTCAAGATTGTGGATTTTACTAAAGGAAAAGCGTTGGTTAAGTAGGGTTCGAAGCTGGTTTTCCCTCGATAACTCCCCGTATTACCGATAATACTTGGGCAACTCGTTAAGGTCGCATAAACCAAACTTCAATTCCGGCGATTTGTTGAACATGCCAATCATGTTTAGAGTGAGACGCTCGGTATCCGCAGATATGATGTTGATCTCGCAGCGCAGGATGTCATTGAGGGCAAAGGTGCGCGCATTGCCCTGTTTGTCCAAGGGCAGTGGACCCCAATAGTCCTGTAGAATCATGGCCTACAATGGTGCAAAGATTAGCTTTTATAGTTACATTTTCTTAGGTTTAAAGTTGGTATATTGGTATATTTTGATGTAGGTGTGTTGCTCAATAAGAGACAGTTTAAAGTGCTATACCGGTATTATCAATATAGTCTGTATAGTCTGTTTGGTTTTAGAGGGACCTGCTTTTACCTTGATGGGCATGTCGGCCAGGTAGGCGTGCTTGGGCTCAGCGGTGCAGAGTGGCTTCACCATCAGCCGGTTGCCATTGGCCAGCCGTGTCACCTGGGTGTAGATGACGTCGCCTTGCTTCAGGGCAGCCAGGCGGTGGGCCCAACCCTTGCGTTTGTCCTTTACATTGAGAAAGAACTCGAAGGGCGGCAGCTGCGGCATATAGGTGTTGCCTAAAACGAGGTTAAAAAAAAGAGGTTAGCCCCACTCCCCATATATACTCATGCCGGTAACCTAACCTTGGGCCAGCACCGAATCCTCCATAACGTTGGCCACCAGACTGCGATCGTACAGATCGGTGGCCTTCCGCGCCAGAAACTGGTGCATCTTGAGCCGCTTGGCCCGCTCCTGGAAGGTGAAGAACTTCTGGCGCTCCTGGTAGACCCCATAGTTCACCTGGGTGAGGCCCATCAGCCTCAAATCGTCAATGCCCCGCTCATCGTCCCAGATCTTTTGCAGCGGCTGGCCGTGGAAGCCCAGCGCATGGCCAATGTACTCGAAATTCATGTTTGCAGCGACGCCAATTCCGCTTTACACCATCTCAAGTTAAGGTCTCTTTACAGGGCAAAGAGAACGGGTGGAAAAAGCCCCACACTTTAATCAGGCAAGGAAATGTCGGCACCGGTCTGGGGTATGTTTGACAACGCAAACTCGCTTTTGGTGGTCGTCGAACTAGGAACACAGAAGACCCGTGCTATATTCCTTAATTACCGCACACTTATGTTTTGTTTTGCAAAGCAATATAGAATTAAATTAGTTTAATTGAAAAGAAATTAATTTTCTTGTTGGGCTGCTAAGTAGAGGTGGAAAAACACCGATATAGACATCGATGTTTTCAAAACATCGGTTCCATCAATGTTTAGCGGTGCAGCATCGATGTTTTTCCATCTCTACTCTGCTCTTCCTCCGCCCCAGCGCTGCCTATGTTAGATAAATGTTAGCAAAACTATACTCTACTTAGAAATGTTAGGAACATATATGTTAGGAAAAACCCCGATATTAACATCGATGTTATCGAAGTAGCCGGTAGCTATCGATTGACGCGGTTGGTGTCTCCGCTACTTGCATGTTTTCATATCTAATGTGTAATGACAAACTGGTCACACTATTTCAGTTAAGCGATAAATTACAATGGATGTAAAGTCATTCTGTAAAATGCATGTAGAAGTTGTTGGTTCCACCCAAAGGTGTCGCACGCCGTCATAATAGGCTAATAACTTATCGATTGTCGCGGTTGCTGTCTCCGCTATTGGCAGGTTTTCAGATCTAATCGGTAATGACATGTAGAAGTTGTTGGTTCTGTATGCAACCCATAGATGTCGCACGTCGTCATAATATGCTAATAACCTAATAGAATTAAGATATATCGTGAGCAACGAGCTGCTCTCAACCTCAAGCAGCTAAGAGATTTAGTTGACATCCTCGGCTGAAAACGGGTTCACGCCATCTCCTAAGGAAATATATCCTTGTCTAGAGTGGCTAATTGAGCGGCTGCCTTTTAAAATGACTTTAAAAACACCAGTGAGTATTGATCAAATATTTTGTTTTTGGGCGAAATCTTAAATCTTACCTTACGTTAATTTAAACTCTATTTTAATTCTCTTTAACTCCCGCCTCGTTGCAGCGATCAAGGTGCAGGTCACCGGCAAGGGCAAGTGCAAGTGGATGGAGATCCTGCGCAAGAACTCGAACAACAACGAGTACTCCCGCAGCCTGTTCTACACGAGCAAGGAGGTGTACGAACACAGTGAGACACCACTGCCGGATTTCGAGCCGCGTGGCCTGGAACTCTCGCCCGGGGAGCACACGTTCATCTTCGAGGTGGCGCTGGGTCGCCAGCTTCCTTCGAGCTTCAAGGGCAGCTATGGCGGCATCAAGTACAAGATGCGCGTGCTCATCCAGCGACCCTGGACCTTCGACGAGCGGCACACCATTCCGTTCACCGTGGTGAAGAACATGCCGCTGCAGCCGTCGCAGCGCAGTGTGCCCAGTTCACTGGAGAAGCAGGTGACCAAGACGATCAGTTTGTTCGGCACACGGCCGATCACCTTGCTCGCCCTTCTGCCGGAGGACTTTGCGGTGCGGGGCGAGCCGCTGCGGATCTGCGCCACTGTGATCAACAACAGCACAACCGCAGTGGAGAAGCTGCGCTTCAGTGTCCTCCAGTACGTCACCTACTACAGCCATGTGCCGCTGCGGGTGCAAAAGGTGGAGTGCATTGCGGTGGCCACCAAGGAGACGGGTTCGGTGCAGAAGAAGACCGAGCGGAGCTTTGCCCACGAGCTGCTGCTGCCCGAAGGGGCTCAGCCCACGGATGAGCAGATGAGCGGCGTCATCACCATCGTCTACGAGTTGCGCGTGGAGGCGGTGCTGCGGGGATTCTTCAAGAACTTGATACTAAATCTTCCGTTCAAAGTCTACTCTCAGGACACTTGCAACAGGCTGAGTTCACTGCGTCCGCCGCCGCCACCGCGGCCAGACGATGGTCCACCCGGCCCGGATGCGGGCTCCGGCAATCCCTTCGAGCCTGCCCTGCCCGTCTACCCCTCGCTAGACTCCTCCATTGGCTCGCCGTCCCACTCCTCGCAGTTTAGCGAGTGCAGCTCCATCAACTCGATAACCTCTGACTCCTCGGCGGCCACACTGAGTCCCGCCGTCGGCGCTGGTGCCGCGAACATGGAGCTCTCCTACACCTCGGGCTCGCAGTCCTCGCAGTACGGCAGTCCCTCGGCCAGAGCCAGCTTGCGCAGCTCCAACGTGCCCTACATGCCCTACTCGTCAAGTCCATTGATGGTGCAGTCGTATCCGCCGCCGCACCTTCCCACCTACCCGCTGCCGGAGTCGCCGCAGTACTCGCTCCTTGCCTTGACACCGCCACCCACTGGAGTATCTGCTCCGCCAGGAGGAGCAGGAGCACCGGGATACAGCCAACTTCCATCCACCTCGGCCTCAGCTTCGTTTCTGCAGCCTCGCCAGGCGCCTGGAGCTCATGAGCTGCGTAAGTTACGATGACAACTCCATTTTACCCACCTGGTTTATTATTTATATTTATTTATTTGTGGTTTCCCTGTGATACAAGCATATAGCCTAAACTTACTGCAACAGTCAAAAGGTATTACATTATATAATATATTCATTTAATATACTAGAATTGGCTTCTAATTGCAGTTTGAATTGTCTAAAATTCCTTATATATTTTTTATGAAGTAGACGTAAGAAAATAACGCTCCGAGTTCAGTTCGTTTATTCCATATATTTATTAAATTGTTGGTTAGTGTAGAATTGGAAAATCTAAGAGTCTGGTACAAAGATTTTATGTGCCAAAAATGGAATGTGATCCCTATTCTTTTATTGCAAATACATAGCTAGCTATGTCATTAAAACATACATTTCATTTGTGACGGTCTAGATATCTACAATATTATAATTAAATTAAAAATTTAGAGTTACGTTATTTGTATATCATCGGTTTTAATAAGGCTCCGATTTTCCCATGCTTAACGAGGGTGTTTAGAATAATATTGTCTGCTCCGGACCATTGGTTATTTTCGTTTTATACACCTAATTATTAATTAACAAGTGGTAAACAATATTTCTAGCAAGCTCTTATCTCTGTATTTCAGCACCTTCCTATGAAGAGCTCTTCGGCCTGGCCAACGCACCTCCGGGAACTCCAAAGTAAGGAGTGCGAGAGACAGTCCTGAGCAGCCACCCAGTTACGTCCAAGCTTTGCCTAGACATAGAGCTTCAGGTTTACTTTATAGTGTTATAGAGTATCACAATATCAAATATGACTTAGACCGCCTTCGCTTCGAACACAAATATTAAGCAATTTGTGCACAACTCAAACGCACACTTTAATATATGGTTTTCTTCCGCTTTAATCTTCCATGCGAAAGTTATATTTTGACGCACATTTAAATTAATGTCTTCGTTTGACCTAATTTTAAAGTTAGGTTTGGACAAGGCAAATAGTTTCTTTGGTACAAGTTCTGAAACTCAAAAAGTTGTGCAATACTTTCTGGAAATTATGTACAACTGGTTGTACAACCTTTTTTTTCTTTAAATGTATGAATACACATACATATATCACCTTTTTAAATTAATCAATACAAATTCATATCACCATTGTCCGTTCTTAAATGTTTTCTACAAAAGCACAAATAGCTTTAAAAAAATAATAAAAGAACACGTTTGCTTATGATTGAGTTAAATATTTGGAATAAAATATTTAAAAATTTAATAGTTAACGTTAAATGCTTATGACCACTTGTAAGCGTATTTGCCTTGTCCACCAATTGACAACCAACCAATAAGGAAACCAAGCTACTACAAATATGAATACCAATTATATACGAACCAATTCTATATTAGATAAAAACGAATTTTTTCTTATTAATTAATTTTCTTCAGTCTAATGAATTTATTATTATTAACTTTGAAAAGTCTGTCTTGAATATCGAGTATAATTTAAATGCCGCCCTTACCCAGATAGCCAAACTATGTGCATTTCTAGGAATGAAATTTGTTTTAAATCTCAAAGACTCATGAGTATTTATCTCACTACTCACCATAACTCGAAACATATTTGTAACCCGCCTATTTATCTTTCATCTCTTATTTGTTCACGTCCCCATTTCCAAAGATTTAGTCTCAATGAAATTCTATACCAAAACAGGTCTTACAACACTATTTATTTTTCACACTTCATAATATGTTTAGCATTTAAGTACTTAAGCACGAATCAAATATTTTGAAAGATAGATTGGTTCTTTCAAGCCAGAAGAATCATTGATCAATAAGCTTTAGTGCCTCTGTATGATGAGTAAATCGAATGGTTATCGTTGTTGAATACAAATGTACCGATAAACAATTTTTATACACACATTGTATAAACAAGTCATCGTTCGGAAGCAATGTCAACTTTTAGTTTTAAGCGCACAAATGCATATTATGTACGATCAAACGATTTCGTTAAGGTGCTTTACAAATCACTATTTTTGGATACCAATTTTTTAGTTTTTTTCGAATTTAGTGCAAGTTGACTAAATTTAAATATAATTTACATAATGGAATAACTGAATAAAATGTTTATATAAATACCAAAAGAAAGACTATTATGAGGATTAAATTCGGGATAAGGAACATTGCCAGGTATTTTCAAAAATTTTTTTTGGCCAAGTTTTAACCAAGAAACCTAATTGTGGTCTTATTTTGCTTCTTTTCCAAAGTGTTATTACGATTTCCAATGACTTATACGATAAATTTCGCCAATTTCGAATAAACCGAATCAAATAATTTGTTGGGCTTTATCTTAATTACTTCTTTATAAATCCGTAGTGTTTAAGTAAAACCTATATGTTTGTAGGTAAAATGGGATTCAAACTACTGTTAAAGCAGGTCATGTTACTACCTCCTCCATGCTTTTTACAAGTTAGCAACCCCTCAAAAAGCACACTTCTTGTACGTGTTAAATTACAATTTCAATGCTTGAAAGGAAGTGCGTTGCTGTCGCCCACGCAGCTACCTGTGTCTACATTTGCCCAGTTGGGCAGGTGGAAAGTGGACGGGATGGTGCAAAAGTGGTCAGGAGGTGAAGGGTGAACGTGTGCGGCTTTTGTAACAAGCAACGGAAGTGTTAAGTCAGCTGTAATTGTTTTCTTTCATATTTTTCCAGTCGCCGCTGCTGAGGGCGACAATTTAGTTTGCCCAGCGGCCCTCGGGGGGAATCAGAGTAACCATAAATTATACTCCACATTGCGATGGCGGGCTGCCGCTGCCCGCATGAAAGGCATACATAAACAAAATTGTTAAATAATAGCGACATTTAGCGGAAGTGTAGTGCCTGTCGCATTCTGCAGACTTCAGCACGCGCGACAAACGATCGCGGCCCTTATTATTTGCGCGATTCACTCCCCCATTTCCATTTCGTTAAATTATAGAGGTGCTAGAAGTGAACTCAACTCACCCCAGTTTCTGTGTACTTAAATGTCTTAATCGCTGTTGGGTTTAACTTCTATTTGACTTTGCAGTGGGGGTGAAAGGCTAATGATTTGTTGACCATTTCGAAAGCGTGAGTAGTGCAATTTGAGGCTTTGCTTTTCGGCATTGAACGTGCCACCAACTGATATTAAGTATTCGCCATGTGTGTGCCATTGGCGCAGCTCTAACACGGATACAGATTGATAGACACGTACGTAAATGGCAGTAATTTAAGATTGTGTATATATATTTTTATGTGCTTAGATATAAGAAGGTGAATGCTGTGGAGGGTTAAGAACTTAATCAAATTTGGGTAAGCAAAGAAAAGTAAAAAGTATATGTATATATTATTTATTAGTAACCATTTTTTAAAAAAAACCTTTTTGAATTTGACTATATTTATAAAAACTCCAATTAAATTTTGGTAGAAAAAGATTTATAAAGAATTATATGCAAAAATTAATATTTTGAAGACTTACGATTTTGTTTATTTTTATAATTATTTTGCTGGGAAATACAATTTTTTAATAACAATGTTATAGCTCATTTCTTGGCCCATTTTTTTCAATCGAGCAATATCGATACCCTACGACCCACAGAAAACTTTCGACACACATTGTAAGTCGCCCAATGATTGAGTTTTTATTAAAACTCAAGCACACATGTCCAAACACCAAGCCATCTGCGTCACCGAGTGACTGGGAATTAGTTTATTCCACTGTCCAAGGAGACAGAAAAAGAGGAAATCGAAGGCAGCCCAAAGAGCACGTTAAAAAAGGCTGGCACATGGCCTAATGCCAAATAACCAAATCAAAACTAATCAAGCAGAAGTTACTGCTACTGCCGCACAGCAGGTGCCATCCGACTTTCATGGGGCTTTCGGTGGTGTGGATGTGGATGGGTGTTCTGGCCACAGTGAAAATGGTTTTAAATTGCTGCCTGATTGTCTTTCAAGTTGGCCCACACTTGTGGCACTTTTGCTCCTTTACCTTTTCTCGCCGCAACCTTCTTCTCTCGACTCTGACTGAAATTTAATCAAGCGTTGAAATTGTCGCACGTACCTATTTCTATTTCCATTTCTATTTCTATCATATTCAATGGTCGCTCCAATTTCTGGCTTTTGCTCACATGTGCGACTTCCTGTCCGTAGTGGTCACAGTGGGTACTGTTTGCTGGCTTATGCTCCTCGTCCACGCTGATTTTGGCCTACTTGTGTGAATGGTCCCGAAACGAGCTCTGCGTTCGTTTTGGGGCAACTGTTGCCAAAGACTGTGACCTTCTCGGCCCCACTCCACTCCGTACTATATTTTGTTTGGTGGTAGCTGGTCTGGCCGCTTCCTTAAGTTTTTTTTGTTGCCTGGCAGCAAGCTGTGACGGATTCGAGGAGTTGAAGTTTTATGCTGTGTTTTTTTTGGGAGGATTCCCTCGAAGGAAAGCTAGTCATGCGATAATTGCGATTAATTTGTATGTATATTAAGGAGCAGTACAATCACCACAAAGTGTTTGTGAAATAAAATTAATTTAAAGCTACCAAAATACTTAACGCTATATACCCATTTTTTTTAGATTTTAGTTTAAAAATATACATAAGAACGTTTAGTGATTTTTAAATTAAAATTATATATTTTTTTTGTAAAAATGTATTGATATTTGGTTATTAAAAAATTAACTGTTTGTTAAAAGATTTTTTGACTTTAGTTAAGTTGTACAATCTTATAAATTATTAGCTTCTCATGGCGTCTGAGTTTAAAATAGATCTTAAAGCTTATTATTATTATTTTGAAGATTTTCCATGGGGTAATAAACATTTACTGGAGTGTACTTTCTGAACCCACTCGCATTTATGTACCATCGAAGTAGCCACAGCTTGATTTCGTTATAATATCAATTTGACACAGTTGTTGGCCTTCACGTGCTGTTCATTTTTCTGTGCAATTTGATTGCAGCCCCCCTCTCCCACTGTCCATCGCACTCAAATCGTACGCCACCACACAATATGTTGCAATTTTTGTTAATTTCGTTATTGCGTCACGTTCGCACAAACTGCGGACGGGCACAGCTTGCGATCGAATTCCCACTGCGGTGCTGGAGATGAACTGCAGCTGGCGGGCAGAGGCAAAGGAATTTGGCAGTGGAGGTGGAGTCGACTTTTCCAGCTAAACTTGAGCTGCTCCCGCTGATTGATGCCGCCGGAGGAGGGGCGGATTGTTTTTTTTCCACTGACCGATTGGCAAAAGAAGCCACAGCAAAGGCTTGCGGTGTGTGTGCATATAATTTGATATGCTGGCGAGCTAGAAGTGGCCAAGAAGGAAATCCTTAAGAGCACAGCAGCTAAGCTAACTCAGCCAATTTCCATTGGCCGGAGGCCACAACAAAGAACATTGCTGCGGAGCAATTTATGAGCGTTTAAGCAGCAGTCGTTGTTATGCAAGCAAGTCCACTAGCACTTTGGCAATTAAGTCCATTTGAGTGTGAAAAAGCATGGAGTATTCTGTGGTTTGGCTGCCATGTTTTTGTACTTTTCAGATGAACTAAACAAGCGAAACTTCTGAATTGTTTTGAAGTTACTAAAAAATACTGGAATAGATTTTAGCAGCTTCGTTCTGCCAACTCCTCTAAAAGCTTTCAATCAATTTCCCCATTGTCTTTTAATTGACAACTAAAACACCTTTGGCCGCGAACTAGCAAAACATTTTCTTTGATGATGTAACACGGCAAATAAACAAAAGCTAAACTTTTTGTGCATTTTGGTAGCTGTGTGTGCGCTCAGTCAATAAATATGCAATTAATGTGCAAAAATCAACATAATCAAATTACGAGCATTTGATTGGTTAAATTGAATTTATAATGATGGCCGAACCGTTTTCGCTATTGGATAATCAGTTTAGCATTGTAATGCCAGAAACTATCTGTGGCTCAATTCAAATTGTTCGCTAAACCAGAAACACGTATAAAAACAGTGCGAACGAAAATGTATGCAAATAAGTAAAACATTTGTATGCATTAACACTTTAATCTGTGACAGGGTTGATTTTATACGCTCAATTGAATTAAAGATATTTGCTGAAAACAATTTTCAGCAAAAAAGCAATTGCAATATTTATGTAATAAATGCCTCCTTTTCCCCGCAATCCAGTTCGAATTTAGTGCACTTAACTTGTGCAAAATGTTAACATTTAATCAAATCAAAAGAAGCTAACAAACCCAATCTCATACCCCATGATCATGCCAAAGCAGCAAAAAACGCAATAAATATTTGATTGGTTTTTATGACAGGAAAAACTACGGAAAATGGTAATAAAAGTAAATAAAAACATATGCATATAATTAATAGCAGGCTAAAATTTGATTTGACCAGCAAAATTTAACGAGGAAATGGAAACGAAATGGAATTAAAATCAATTTGGCACTGAGAACAAAATATTTATCTTAAAAAAAATAAAAGGAAAATCACTGCATTTCAAAGCCAATAAATAATTTGTTTGTTTTTCTTTTCATTTGATTGATAAAATATATGTTACAAAAGTTATATGTTAAGCCTAACATTAAACAAAAGTATTTAGTTTGGTGCAGTGCTAAAAAAATATTGCTCAAATACCTTTTAATGTCAGTTCATTTAATTTGTTTGGTCAACGCACAAAAGAAATATTTGCCCACCCAAACTATGTTGTAGAAATTTTTTATTAAATTTCGTTAAATTTGTTAAGCAAAATTTCCGGCAACTAAATTGGTTAACTAGGAATTTCTTCTCAGCCACAGGACGAGAAACTAAGGTAAGTCTCGAGAAATGTAAAAAACAAGTAAATCAAATTATATAGGAATGTTCCGGTATGTCAGCCTGGGACAAATAGATTTCCACCACTCAAACCAGTGGGTCTAAGGACTTGCTTGCCGCATTCCTGTGGCTGTTGCCAGTTCAGACTGTCCTTGCTGGGCAAATATCCAAATTAATAAAATACAAATATTCACAGTGCTGGGCGAAAGTTAACCGACTGGAGCAGTTGATTAGTCTGCCATGACAATGCCAAGGATTTTTCACATTCCGTGTGCACATTGATTCAATTATTGGCATTTAATTAAATGCAAATAGACGTTG